GAAAGCACAATCATGGGCTTGAGCGGCAGTGGGCCTCCAGAAGAGGATCATTGCAATTACATTGCCTTTTAGAGGCTAGGCAAACAATGAATGGGAAGATGAGGCATGTGGTAGTTCTTTCAAATTACTTTATTCAAACAAGATATTTTGTATAATCAATGATAAAATATCCTAAGCACACAAAGACTCAGCTTATGGTGTCTGAAAGATATTAAAGAAAGCAACATGCATTTTAAGTAGCGGTATGATAAACTGAATCAGATGATAATCCTATCTTTTAAATTCTAAAGAATGTGTCTTTTAACAAGAATATGTCAAATCTGTTGCTTTTATCAGTTTGCTGACTTTGTGGGTCACATGGTGAAATTTTTATGACCGCAACGAACAGAAACTGTTTTGAGGTTCTTCATTGTTATGTATATGTTCCTTTTCACTGTTACTTCTATTCGACATTTGTTTTTTGTATTGACCAGTATATTTTCCTTCTTCTAGTGAAGTATTTGTGAACTCCCCCTTCTTCATATCAGCAGAGGAAGCAGGCGCAATAGAAGGGTAATTTTGTCGTAGTCTCATTCTTGCCTTTCTGTTACGTAACCCTGATGTGTCTTTTCAAGCATCCGGTCATTTTCTGCAGGGAAAATGATGACTATAAAGAGATAAGTATACCAGCTGGTAAAACTCATGAGGTACGTTTTCAACCTTGTCAAATGACAGCATTTGAAGTAAGCTACATATTTTCTTTGTACCAAGTTGTCTTTTTTGGCATCATTGAGTCAACCCTGGCTGCATAGCTGATGGGTTATAAGCAGTTGAATCCGCTCATAGATTAGAGACGGATTTGTATTTGAAATGAGATTTTCTGCATTTATTAATAAACCGATACATATCTCTACTTATGTACAAGTTATATGGAACATTATTCTTTGTTGATCGAATAGCTAGTGATTTTCAATCGAGAATTTAGACTCTGAATGCAGATGATCAAGAGCTGTTGATTCTTACAATTATAAGCTTGAAAATAATTGATTACTGTTTCTTCTGAATTTTTATAATTGGGTAGCATGTTCTTATGTAATTTTTTTTAATGATTTATGGTTTATAATTCTATTTTTGGTTTTCTTCTTGATTTCCTAATCATGGGTCCTACCAAAAGGGTGCCAGCCATGTGGTATAAAATATGTTATAAATCTAACTCCTACGCTAGATATGTTTTGTTGGTTCAGAAATTTAAGAAACTCCAGAGATTGATGAGATTCAATAGCTAAATTCCCGATTGGTCCAAAGAAGAGCACAGTAGACAACTTTATGTTGATGGTTAGAAGCAATATTTGTATCGCTTTGAAAGCTTTTGTCCTTTGTGGGTTCTTCCCTAACACAAGCCAAACAATGTCTTCTAGCTTCCTTTGCTGTGCCCTCTAATAAATAAGTCCATCATCTTGATGAAACTTTGGATTCTGCTTGCTTCACCCTGCCATCCTCGCACAAAAGTTTCGCATTTAACGTTCATTTGACCGGATAAGACTCTCGAGGAACTGTAGGATCAGGAGTTTGTCAGTTCGTGATACTTCTGGTTTGCACTTTGTCCAAGTCCATGTATATTGCATAAAACAATGGGATTGCTGTGCTTCAGAATCACAAGTCAACTGGGTTAATTCGTGTCTCAAAGTATCTGGTTACTGGCCATAGAATTATCTTGTCTATTAGTAACTTTTTTGCTCCTGCTGTAACCTCGATGATGCTGTTTCGGTTCCAAAATTTTTTATGCTTCATAATGGACTCTATGCTAGGTTTCCTTGATGGTGGATTCGTTGAACTCATACATTGCATGGGATTTTGCACTGGTACAAGGCAAAATTAACCTAGTAAGTCACGAGGCTTTCTTTCCTGTTGTTGTTGAATCATCTGTACTATTCTGCGAGAAATTTTTCGCTTCTTGCTGTGGTAGGATTTTTTTTTACTTGACAATCATCTTTCATTTAAGACTATGTACTGGGTGGCCCATCATCTAAGAGAGGTGGCAAGCTGTTTGTGTTTGCCTTTTCCTCATGATTTTTCAATCTTTCGCCCTCATCAACCGTCCTTTGACCACAATTGCTTGATGCAGCTGAAAGAAGAACAGAGGGATATGTTGGTATAAGAGTTAAAAGTATTAGCTTGAGTAGTTCATGCTGAACCATTTAATGAATTTTTAACAGAGAAAAAAGTATATTCCTGCGGCAGCATCCTCCCTTTATAAGGCCGTGCAAACATGGAGTTATTTTACCAAGTTGAAAAGATCATTCATGTGGAAACTAATGGGATTTGTAAACCAAAATCTCAAAGTGGAAGGCCGATTGCCGCAGTAATTTCAAACTTCCCTGACATTTTCCTATGCACTGGGAAGTAGCTGCAGCCATTTAGCTTTGACTGAAAGCAAGAATTCTTGTGCATGACCTCAACATGTTCACTAACTTGTGATTACAATTGCAGACCCAAGACTGACCAAACCAGCCTTGTTTACGGAGTGATTACTGACTACCATCTCCCTTACCCATTGGCTTTGTTAGCTTGATATTAAATTGCATTTGGCTTGACTATATGGACAAGTTCTTCAAGTCATAGACTATAGGCTTGATCTTGAGTCAAACAAACACCTTTCTCGAATTTGGTTGTGGGTTGAATTTTTTGGCTTGGGTATTTTTATTTATTTTTAACAATTTGATGATGGTAGTTGAAATGAGTGCCTCTTTTTATACACATCAGACAGGACGTTGAATTTGGCAATTGAATTAGGAGAATCAAAATGAATGCATGGTCCAGAGTGTTAGTTTTTTGGTATGCAAGCTAGAGATTATTGCAAGAATATCTTTTGATATATGTTCTTCCATCTGTCAGGACATTGGATTCAGTGTGGAGTGTATAAATTCTTCGGGACAAAAAACTGTGAGTTACAATATTTTTGAGCATCCGCCAGCTACATGCTCAACTCTGAATTATCTAGATTCTTGTTTTTTTGGGACCTTTCCGTGGGCCTGCCGGCTTTGTGCTCAGTAAGACTGGATTCGGCAGCTTACTCACCTGCTTTCCTATTGATCTTTGACTGCATCTTGTTGGCTGTTTTGCAGTTAATATTACCCTACCGTCGTTATGAGTCTGACCAAGTGAGTGCTGCACTTTTTATTTGTTCATGTCCTCAATAGCTTGATTTCTATGAGAAGCAAATTATTCTCGGCTTCCGATTGCTTTCTGGGCAGGGTAACTTTTGCACATGCGTTGCTGGAAATTACAAGCTAGTCTGGGATAATTCATATTCCACATTCTTTAAGAAGGTATACGCTCTTTTCTTTTGGGGCCCCATTATGTTGCTTTAACATTTTATTACTTTTCAGTAGACATGGCCACGGTTCGGAACCGGCCGGTTCCGGTTCGGAACTGGCGGTTCTGGTTTGGAACTGGCGGTTCCGGTTCGTGGCCATGTATGAACCGGAACCGGCGGTTCCGGCCCGGTTCGGAACCGGCCGGTAAAAATTAAAAAAATAATGAATTATCAAATTATGAAATAATGAATTATTCAATATAAAATGTAATCAAAATGTACATTGTAATCAAATTTGGAGAAAAAAAGAGTTTCTCCACTTATCTGCAATTTTTTTTTTGGGGAACCGGTCCCGGGTTTGACCCGGGCTGGTTCCGGGCCGAAACCAGCCCGTGGCCATGTCTACTTTACAGGCATTTTTTGAAAGTAGTACAATCATTGCTTTTTCAACAAGAGAATCAAAGTTATTCGAGTTTCGTAACTTTTAGTACTAGAAGGGAATTAGTACACTATACTTGTGACTTATAATTTGAATTTCGCGATAGGCCCTTCGTTTCAAGGTAGACTGCATCCCTCCAGTCGTGGAGCCAGTTCAGTCTATGTCCGAAGAGGAAGCATGAGGCCTCTGTCAGTTTATTTGCATTTGTTTGTGATGTTCTCTATTAATCTCTGCCCCCCAGAATTTTTGCTGGGATGGATATCTTACGCCGGCATCCTTCTCATTGAAAAGGTGATCCTAGTGTTTAAATTGTTCGGAAGTTGTAACTTTTCTGTATATACTCCACCACACAATGTAATCAATTCTCCTTTATGATTATTAAAAGATGATTAGCCTGTTCAGTCATCGACGCAGTTTTCTTACTGTCTGGTAAATGTAGTGATTGAATTAATCGAAACAGAATGTGAAAGTGGGTAAATTCAGGAAAGCAGTAATGCCTTGGAAGAGAAGGGTTGCGGCAGAACCTCAGATTCTGCTAATTCAGGCGACCGATGGAGGAGAAAGGAAGGAGTGAGATGGGAGAGGGCCTGCTCGGAGTTGGGTCGAGGTAGTCCTCTTATCGACCAACACGAATTTTGAGATCCAAGTTTCTTTGCTTTCGCGTGCTCTCCGGTTAAAACCTCTCTTCCCTTCTTCCACTACGTCCCGAGGATCTAGGATCACGAGCTCGTGAATTTGATCTTAAAATGGTACTCGTTACCTCTTAAAATTATCGCATGAGAGGAAAAATTTGAGCTAGTATCTAAATCGCTTACTGGTTAGATTTCTTAAGACCAAATACCTAATCCGAGAGCTAAAATCGCGCGACAAGTATCCACCGTGAAAGCTAATATCTAAAACGTATGCTTCTTTTCTTTCTTTTCCTCCTGGGGAGTTAACATACGTTGTGCTAGGTGATAAATGCAAGAGCAATTTGTTTTAGATAAGTATGTAACAGGCTTTTGCTTCATTTTTCAACAATATATACAGTGAATTTTTTCTAATGAATAGTAACCATCACAATATATGTAGTCAGCGACTTTTTACGTATTAGTGTAAGTGGTCTACTGAGCTAGCAATCGCCGGCCATTACCAGTCACTTGGGGCATGAATTTATCCATCTTGAAGCCCAAAGATTTGCATAAACGCCCATATTTTCAAATGCCCGACCTCCCGTTCAGTTAGTAAATGTTGCCCGCGGAATGCAGGTCGACAATATTGACATGGTTGGATAAAAACCTACATAATCTATTCTTTACTCCTTCCTCTAAAGATGACAACTTCAAGAGATGCCTAACCTTAAACATGTACAGCTACTGTGCATTATGACCTCACAAAAAAGCTACCCACCATGGGAAAGCTACCGAAACATTCCAGGCAAGAAATACAAAAGCTTTTCCGTGTTACCCATAAGTCAAGAAAAATCATGTGCCCGCTTAGCGGCATCAAGAGTATTGGACAGAAGCATGGCAATTGTCATGGGACCTACTCCTCCAGGTACGGGGGTTAAAGCACTCGCCACCTGCACGGCTTCCTCATAGCAAACATCTCCCAGAAGACGGTATCCATGCTCGTGGTTTGGATCCTGTCAACATGGTCCATAATGATCTTACAGATTTGTCATAAATATAGCAAAAGGAAAAGAGCGCCTTACGCATCAACTGCAACAAGTGCATGCACGTCAAGGACATCTGCTGACCATCATTATGATGTCATGCTATACACTGCACCATATGCCAGAATTCTCACCTCAATTGGATGAGTTCCGACATCAATAATGACAGCTCCTGGTTTAAGCCAATTGCCACGGACCAAATTTGGTACTCCGGCAGCCGTGACCACGATGTCAGCTTCCCGCGTGATCTCTTCAGGGTTCTTCGTGAAAGCATGCACAACACTCACGGTCGCATGGTGCCTCTGCCCAATAATGCTAGTAAGTAAACATCTTTGATCTGGCCGAAGAAAAAAACATACATGATCCACCTTTTTCTGAAAAATAACATCTTAATACCTGCAACAGCAAGAAAGTGGGCAACCCTACAATGTTGCTTCTCCCAATAACCACGGCTTTTCTCCCCATGATCTCGATACCCGATCTTATCAATAACTCGATGCAACCTTTTGGAGTGCAGGGGATGAACAGAGGCTCCCTGCCTCTCATCGCAAGATTACCCATATTAATTGGGTGGAAGCCATCGACATCTTTTTCTAAGCTCAGAACATTCAAAATTCTCTCCTCATTCAAATGCTGCCATAGGGAATATATACTGCATCAGCGAGCTAACACTTTACAGAACACTGTACATACTCAAGATTTAGGTACCAAATAAAGAGGCAATTCCACAAGTCAGTCATAATACTTTACCATCGTGTTCATAGCAGAGTTGATAGGATGAGGCAAATCACCATTATATTTTCTCTGTAAAACCTTACTGAACAAGAGCATTCACTCAAGAATCGTGTCCAAAATGGACTTGTATGGTACAAAGAAAAACCTATGAATGCAAGGACAGACATCTAATAGAATCTTTCAGTTTCAGATGATGCTCTATGGAGCATTTCCTGATGTGGTAAGAGCAAAATTTAAAAGCGATGTACATTTGTCCATAGTATAAGGAAAGACACTGCATTTGCTTGCTTAACTTTTGTCAAGCATGCGTATTGCCAAGTAACAGATCTGGTTTCAGAAGAATTTCTTTAAAATAAGGCATCTGACCCTACAGCCATACCTCAAGAATGGACTACAACATGATAGGTATTTGGAACAAAGCAAGGGACTAAGGAATTTAAGGACCATATAGAGAGAAGTGAGGGCCGGTATATTTTTTGGTCACGAGAGATGGCCAATTTGTGTGCTATCATAATTGTATAAAACAGGGTGAATGCGTTAAGGCTTCCTGCATTTTTACGTGTCCCTCTGTGCCCTAATTTCAATAATTAATGTGGGAGGATTGCGTCAGAAACACAACAGAATAGAAGAACTATTTTCACCAAAGTGAATAACATAGGGACTAAAGGGGATAGATCAAAGTTCAGGAGGTCATGTACACATAATCCCAGGTACAAGGATCTGCACACTGTTCTCTCCCGCCCCCCTCCCTCTCACATGAAAAAGAAAAAAAGAGATACGTACAGAGAGCAGCTTTGAGTAGTTACATTTGGTAGAGGCAGCTGCACAAGAATACCATGAATTGACGGATCATTTTCAAAACTTAATAAAGCCTCGAGAACATCATCTTCTGAACAATCATTAGGTAGCTCCGCCAGTACAGACTTGATTCCAGCTTCTTCACAAGCTTTCATCTTGTTTCTGACATAAGTTTCAGAATCCCTTCTCTGTCCCACCATAATTACAGCCAAGCCTGGGATCCTATCAATAGAGTCCTTCATCCTTCTAACTTCACTCGCTATTCTTGACCTGATTCCCTCAGCAATCAACTTCCCATCGATCACTGCAGCTGTCTGTCCATTGGCTGTGATGAATACCCAATATATTCAAAGCTGGTTCTTAGAGTAGAAATCAATTTCAAGAAATGAGACAAATCAGTTCTTAAACTATCTCGGCCATTCGATTCATAAAGTAAGGTTGAACACAACAATCTTTATTTCTTTCTTTCCTAATCTTTCCTGGTCACCAAAACTTACCTCATTGATCAAACCATCACAAGACAAATGACAAAAAGATTCGTGCGCAATTTCTCGCACATATTTCTGGAAGTGAGTAAATAAAAAACGAACATGCTAAAACAAGCTCAGGAACACAGTTGAACAACAAATATTGGACCGTGGTTTTATTTAGCTGCAAACAAGATATTACTGTCGTAAGAACTCAAGAAACTTTCACAATTCACCGCAAATACCGAAACATAGATGATTGTACCCATACAAAAATTGTTCATTCATTTCGATTATTTTTCTTTAAGGAAGAACACATGAAGATGGATGCTGCACATTACAGTCACTACTCCTTTTCATCAATGATAAAACTCGTGCTGACTTTGATAATAATTCAGGTTCGAAGCTATATGTAGGGATTACTTCTCCGCTTTTCAAGGAAAACCATATTCCTAGCAAGCTGATAAAGAGCAGTTTTTCCAAGGGGACCATCTCTTGACATAGAAAAGGATTTCAATTCGGTGTATGTTTTAGGATCACCAGAGAGTAAGAGAGGAAAACAAAGCTGATTACATCTTTACTCAATGGACTTCTTACAAGAGCATATAAGATGCTCTGCATATAGTTTAGAGAAGACGCGACTACATTATTTACTATCTACCAACTGATGGCTGACAGCCTAACACTACGACATATTCTTCAAGACACAAAAAGAATCTTAACGAAAAAGTATGCTAGAAAGGAATCAAATATAAAGTTAAAATCTGAGTGTCCAAAAGGTTGATGTTCTGACAGAAAGGGATTTAAATCTACACAATGAATCAGAAATCTAACTAAACTTTTCAACTAGTGTAAAGGCCTAGCTGAGGGAATGTATGAGTAATATCCTAGTAAAGTTCATGTGACACTCAAGTCATCACTATAGTGAATCAGGTTTTGCACCTATTGCTTATCAATAAATATGTGAAAGAATTCTCTACTAGTGAAAAGTCGCGTTTTGCCATCTATTACATTGAGGATCAGTCATATGATTGTGTATTGCTTTCATTGTTTGAACAAATCTATTATGTAATATCGATGTAGCCAAAGACAATGGTACTTGAAACTAGAAAGTTGGTAGTTTACCATTTAGCTAGAACAATTCAAAACTTCAGTCAAGCCAAAACAACACTTATACCTACGAACTAAACAAGGCGGGGTGCATTTGATTCATCTTCAATTAACCCTCAAATTTAACCCTCCTCATATTAATTAGACAGAGTATCCGCATGGAAACAAGAAGTGTAATGGGCCGGCAGACTGCATAATGGGGTGCAATCTAACCACGAATATGAACACCACGTAAATGCAAGCCTCATTGTTAAAATCCAAAAAGCCACTTAGTACCCAAAGAACCGACGCGAAAAGAGATGGTACATTGGTTTCCAGGGAAACAAAACAGAGCGGTGAAAAAGAATTTGAAGGGCTGCAAACAGGAGAGCCAGCAGGATATGGGAAAGTAGTACGGTAGTTACACTTGTTACAAAAGGCATGAGAAGAACAAATTACATCAAAAGATCCGCAGAGACCTATCAACTCACTCACACGGAACCAACACAGAACATACATGGAAAGCTGCTTACGGTGATGGTGGTTGAACGGCGGACCCAAATGGCTAAAATTGGGAGCCCATACATCCGGGAGATCAAGCGAAACGAGCGGCGGCGACATGATAATCTGGGAGCTATGCTTACCCTCCACAGCAGAATGCACTGCTCGTGGGCGTGTGGATACTGTAGACCCGATTGACTTTCTCAACCTCTGAGCCAAAAACCTCATCAGCACCACCATTTTCTTATACCCTCTTGCGCCTTCCGAAGATCTCAGCCTTCCAGCCCTCCTCCTCCTCCTCCTCCTCCTCCTCCTCTCCTTACCGCCTCCTCCTTCCCGCCGCGTCCCGAGCACCGCCCGGGTTCTCCGCAACAAGGCCGCCGCCGCCGCACCGGTTCATGACACGAGCTGAGCTTGGCGAGATGGCCGAAGCAGCAGCAGCAACGCCGTCCGCGACTCCACGATCATCTCGCGGTCTCGGGTCGTGGCGGAAGAAGCTCTGCTTGCTTCTGCAATTCGGCAACGCTGCCCAGCTAGTTTTCGGAGGTTGATGGCGGAGGTTTCTGGTTCGGCCGAACTTGGGCCTTGGATTTTCCTTCGTGGGCCTTCCTGGGTTGGGCCCGTGATGGGCCGAACGATGGAGTGGGCTGAGAAGAGCCCATTGAATTCTACACCGAGTTCATTTCTCCACCTGCTCTGCGACCCGACTTGCCTTAAAGCGGGGGAGATCCGCGGGTAGGAACCCGACCGGACCCGACCCGAATTTTGTGATCATTAAGCATCATATGGCATGGTGTCGGTGGCTAGGCTTTTGTGAAAAATAATTGCTAGGGATTAGTGGATCAAATGCTATCTGCTTGATCTCAATTGTGTACTTTTTCCTCTTACATAGGATTTATCGATCTTTGATTAGTTCTCGCCTGTTGTGAGTCCCGTTTTTTCCCGGCCCCGATCCTTTTTTTAGACTGTTTTTCGAGACACCCGCTTATCATCCTAAACCGACTCGGTCGCCGTGACGTTAGATTTCCGACTTCTAACAAAGTATGTACATCATACTTTATACCGTCTACTTTCCCTAAAATGGACCATTTTCCCTAACAAATCTACAAGTCAAATCGTGCTTTCTCAGCCTAAAAAAGATCTGCCCCCGCAAGGCCCTTTTTCCCTCCCTAGACACCAATTAATCCCACTAAAGTCACAACAAACAGCTGAAGCAACATCAATGTCACCTCAAACCTTGAAGACAATTAATGATAGAAATCCACAAACTTTTGATTCCCCCATCACTCACTAGAATCCGAGTGATGTTGAAACATCAGATTTTGGTGGTGGTGGTGGTGGTGGTGGTGATCACTGTTCCTTGCTCATGTTCCTCATGGAAGAAGGCAACCAGTCAAGGACATGGGTATGACCCAATTGGCCCTGCAATGTTCCACAAGCTACAGTGATTGGAAACACTCGGATCAAGGAGGCAAAGCCACATGGAAAAAGGCATGAAATGAAACAGGAAGCTCGGGCAATTTTTGAAGGGGGTTTGGGGGAGAAGATAATCACTCGCAAACGATAATATGTAATTGATAGGAAAAGGACAAGAACCAGTCATATAACCATACCCATCATTCAAAGCTTTTCTCCTTGTAACCCAACAGTGGCATCCAAAATAATGTTTTCCACAGGGAAAAGGTGAATGCTTGCTCTTTGCTATAGGTCAAGAAATTTGTTCCTGCAATGTCCCCTTGCTTTTTCTCCCATCTAAGTGAGGACACCCGAATAAGAATGATTTTCCCACATGGATCGTGCTAAAGAAAAGGGCCGTGCATTATTAGGGATGAGCGCCCGGGGTTTCCGATCGATATCGTATCATTTGCCAATGATGATTTGTCCCAGAGTTTTTGGGTCTAATTGCGAAATTTGCGGGCCAAAATTGCGCTCACATCAGTGGCCACGGTTGCTTTGGAAGATGTCCGGTTCGATAGACTCGCGTCTATTGCGAGAGAAAATTGCCAATATGCCATAGGCAAATCCTTGAGCATTTCTCAAAGGGATCAATTCAGCTATAGATTACATGGAATTGAAAGAGGCACATTTGTGGGAACAAAATTCAAGTTACTCCAAATAGGCTTTTGTAAACCGCAATGCCCTTGCACAAGGCAAAATGTAGGGGAGAGGGACGCTAATAATAGGAAAAGACATAACCCCATCTTGAAAGGACTCTTTTTTGTTGATTAAAATATTTTGAGTTAATACCACGAAAAACCCTAAATTGGTACACGTGTAATAAATTTACCCTCAGTTTGTTTTCGTTAAATTTTACTGTCAAATTGCTTTATTAAATGACACACGGCAGTTGACTGATGTGCTAGTTTTCTGTTTTACCCTTTGTTTGTCACAGGTGTAACAGTTTGTGATTTTTTTTGTATTAATTCAATTTAACGAAAACTAACGGAGGGTAAATTTGTCATAAATATACCAGTTTGGGATTTTTAGTGGTCAAAATATTAATTTTTGGTAAATTTATCACGGGTGTACCAGTTTGGGGTTTTTTGTAGTCAAAAAATTCATTTGGAATAAAATTATTGCAGGTGTACCAATTTGTGGTTTTTTATGGTATTAACCCAAATATTTTTTTTTGACCCGTCTACTTTTCATGCCCCAAACTCTGAAAAATCCGGAAATTCTTTTACTCTAAAGTTATTTCGATCGCAACAAATCGTAGCCTTTGTGTTTACATTGGTTAAGTGGATTCGTGAAACATCAGGGACCGAACTGAATAAAAAAAAATGTAAAACGACATTGCATGTGTAGAACCTCTTTGCATGAACGAGGATAGATTTCCTCTTTTTCCCCCCTCCACAGACGCATGTGGTGTTGTTACCACCATAAATGTTCATGCACTTATGTTGTTCGAGAAAAGTTTTGAACCAAGTGGGATTTGAAGTGAAGTCATGTCGAGAGAGATGGGAACAAAACCAGCCACCGATGTCACCTTCTTGGGAAAGTTGCTTTATTGGATGGAGACAAGACAGCTCTCGTTTCCACTAATTATGGTTAATCCTAACGGGAAAAAATCTTGCCATTGGAATTTGACTTTTAATTTTTAAGCAACATTTTCTTTATGCACTGATGTAGGAAGATATAATTTATGTTTCCTTCAAAATTTTTGACACATAAATAAAAAATCTTAAGGCCAAAGTGAGCTGGCTCAGTTAGTAAGGTTCGAATTCACCGCACACCATACCCAGATTTGAATCTCACTGCCAGCAATCTCTTTTAGTAGGCGATTTGTAAATCCACTATAGACCTTCTAAGTCTATGGTATGCCTTGACCTTGGCATTGGGTAACCTCCCCTTGTCCTTAACTTTTTCATACGAGAAAAGACTTAGGTTTTCTAAGATTACAAAAGAATTTTAAACAACTTGGCATGTTAATATTCATGTATTTTTAGGTTTCGGGTATTCAACTTTATACAAAAAATCAGAACTAAATTGTCATGATAAGAAAAAAACAAAACAAAACAAAACAAAATTGACAAATAAAAAATTTGACGAAGTTAGAAATTTGGCCTAATACCCTAAAAAATCTTAAATTTTAGATCCAATATCAATTCTACCTTTAAAATTTTTTTGTTTCATTAAAAACCTCAAACTTTAGGTCCAGTCTCAATTCTACCCTAAACTTTTTTTTGTCTCGTAAAAACTACCAAAGTTAACTTGAGTCTCAAATTTGCCGCCGTTAACCCTCCGTCCAAAATTTCTCTGGACAATTGAGAGATGAAAAACTCTTGAGCGAGATGTTTGAGCGTCCCGAGCTGAGTGTCTTAAGCACCAATTCTCCGACCGGCACGAGAGATTGAAGAGTGAGCGCAAAATCGAAGATCCCCAAGTGAGATGGAAGAAAGATTATCTTTAGAGCAAGAGTAAATAAAGAAAACAAATTCTAATTGTTCTAGTTTTTACTCAAATTTCATATCCAATAAGATGTCATTTAGGTCAACATAGAAATTCATCTCCAAAAGGTGTTTTCTTAGACATGAAATTTGGGAAAATAGAGCAATGCCATGGAAATGTCATATCATTAAGGACAATTTTGGACCGAGGATTAATGATGGCAAATATGGGATTAATGTTTTTTCACGAAACAAAAAAAAAGTTTAGGGTAGAATTGAGATTAGACTTAAAATTGGTGATTTTTTATGAGATAAAAAAATTTATAGTAGAATTGGTACCGGACCAAAAGTAGAGAGTTTTTTACGAGACGAAAAAAGTTTAGGATATAATCGGGACTAGAGTTAAAGTTTGGGGATTTTTTAGGGTATTAGGCCGTAGAAATTTCAAAAGGAGGGGGAAATTCTCAACATACTCAGCTTAATATTGTTATCGTTCCATGTGGAAAAGCACACCGACACTACATATTATAAAAAGTTTAATGAAAAGTATTTTCGTGTGTGTGACCGGAAAAATGAATACCGATGAATTGTGAGAATATATTGGGTTAATGAAGTCTCTTAATGTTATTTTATGAAGTTTCAATCTCGTTCAGACATATTAAAAATTAATTACTACATTAGAATTTCATTTACAATAAGAAAAATTAAATTCATTAAATGCCCCAAGTTTTTACTTGTATTAACCATAAGAATTATAACGATCGATAAATTTTCCTCTATAATCATTTAATGCAAAAGGTAATAAAAAGAATGATTGACGGATTCGCATATAAAAAATTCCAAAAATAATTAAAACGAAAAAAACATGACCATAGCATTCCTTCGCCGGGCCATTCAATGAATGGAATCTTAAAATGACAAAAAAAAGGGGGCAAAAGCCACAAAAAAAACCCTAAACTATGCCCACGAGATATTTACAATAAACTTTTTTTCGTGACATAAAAAATTCTCAAACTTGTACTTGTGCAACACATATATCTTCCGTCAAAGTTCTGCCCATGAGAACCGTTAAAAATCTGCCAACATGGACGCCAGAAAGCAAACGGTGTTGATATGGCCCCCCACATGCGACGATGTTTTAGCTGAAAAAATCAACCAACAGAACTTTAACGGAGGGTAAATATATCACGTAAATACAAATTTAGGTATTTATGTCACGAGAAAAAGTTTAGGGTAAATGTGTCACGGTGGACACAGTAAGTAAATGTGTCGCGGTGAGTATAATTTCGGTTTTCTTTTGTGGCTTTTTCTTATAAAAAAAAAAAAGAAAGAAAGAAGAGAAGGATTGGAAACGTGAAGATGGAGACAAGAAAAGAGGGACCGAGCCCCCCCTCCCTCCTGACCGGAAGAGCATTGAAAAGTAATGTCAATCTGTAACGAGCACCCGACCGATTCGAAAGCAACTCATGCCGGTCCAAACGCTACGCACCATCTCGTTTCTTAGCTTCGGGCTTCGTGCCCCTCACGTGTTTCCGGCCAAGTACAAGTTTCCCCCCCGCCCCCCCCTTTTCCCCCAAATTATTGTTTCCCACCCCCAAATTATTCACTCCAAATCAATTTCGCCTAAACAAAACCGCCCAATCGGTGCGCGGCACGGCACGACACATTTATCTCCCGGCTAAATTTCCATCTCGTAACACATTGCAAGGTAAAATCTTTGACCCGGAAAAATTCCAATCTCTTGCCCGCCACCCAAATCTAATTCCGTCAGCAGTTTGGAAATATTCAGATTGAGGGTACTAATTTAAGATTTTTTATGGGATGAAATGGCTTGTATCGGTTTGAAATTCTTTGTAAGGCGAAATCTAATTCAAGATTAACGCAGCACGAATGTACCATTTCAGATATTGTAATATTTAATGGTATAGATTTGAAAAAGAAGAAGGAGAAGAAAAAATTACAGAGCCCCACATTGTCATTGAACTGCTCGAAGCCCCTATAATTCCTCGTGTACTGTCGCAACGAAAATTTTTCAAAATCTTTTTGCTGACATTTCATTTGTTTTTGGTGCCTCGTGGGGCGCGCTTGGCTTTTTGGGTTCTGTATCTTGTCCGATCTCGGCAAGACTGCAAACTGCAGGGCAGGGCGGGAGGGGGGGTAAAAAGAAGCCATTGATTATTGTCCACGGAGTCAAACAAGGCGCTAGAAGCCTAGAAAGCTTGCCCCTATCGAAAAGGTAAGAAAATAAATAAATTATTTTAAAAAACATGGGGTGGGAAAAAGTTGGTCATGATGATGCGGTTGGATGCAAAATGTCAAAACGCTAGGTTGCATTCTCGTGGGGAATTGAGGGTTCCTCTCCTTTTTATTTTTATTTTTCTGGGTATTTTTTAATTTGATCGAATTCAACTTTAATTTCCCATTTTTACAAGCTCCTCCTCCTCCTCCTTGACCAATTTCTGCGTTTTTGTTCCTCGTTGGTGTCCTCTAGTTCGCAGCTCGAACGTGCTGTGTTGGGTGGTGCGCAGCGTTTTTGCATTCGGTCGTGTAATGGGGAGGCTGCTTTTGGTTCTGGACATTGCCTGCCTGAGCTCTTTCCCCTTTGGTGTCTATTCGATTCTGCTCTTTCTCTAGGGAAGGACTTGAAGGAGAAAGGGCATCTTTTTCGAGCCTTTGAGGTGGATGAAAATTTGAAAAGTCAAAAAGGAAATTCTCATTTATGATGAACTATAACCCCCTCTTTTCTCCTAAGTCAAAAAATTCATTTATTGCTTGGATTTTGACCCACGTCCATTTTTGGATAGAGTTTCCACCCTTTCGTTCTCCCCACAAGCGACTGATGTGGGCATTACCATGTTTAGATACATATTCTCTTGTTACAAAAAGAAAAAAAGAAATCCTCTGGGAGATTATCTAAATTGTCATTTATAGTGAAAAAAATCAAAGTGCAATTTGGCCATGTTAGCTTAGAGCGAGCCTCTCTAGAACGGAGACTTCAAATACTTAGATGGACTGGGAGTAAGTGTACAAGACTGTTCAATTTGTGGAGCTCACATGGATTCTAATTTTATTGAATAGTGTTTTAGATGTCTCATTGCAGCTAATGCCTAGTCCATATAAGTTAACGGGCGGGAATCATCCTTGCCAAATATGGGATCATTATCATCATCATTGGAAACTATGTTGTTAGACGAAAAGCTACACCAATGGTCATCAAAACTTGGGATTTTTCTTTTAATTCGCATGGAAAAACATAAACATGACAAAAGGGTTACCACGATCTGCCAACGGGTTAAAACCAAAAGAAATGTCGCATTCAGTCCAAACTTAGTACAACCGGCGATGAATCGACAAAACTCTCTATCGCGAAATTTGATTAATCCAACAAAAAATCATGCCCGAGCATTCTGAATTCACACGTCTCGCTATCAATCTCGAGATGAACTCCCAAGTCCCCCCTCCCCAAACAACAAGACCCGGAGACTTTCGACATCGTTGAAGCTGTCATGGCCTGCACGCACGACTTTTTTCTAACCTCGTCCAGGATTAATTAGCGAATAACGTTAATCACCCACGTAATGCCCGTGATCATTGGCCAAAAATGTCACAATTTGTCTTTAATGAATAAATTAGGGCTACGTTGTAGGAATGTCGAAGTTCCTCGCGACTATCGATGCAAGCTGAAACAACGCATCGTGAGCGCTGTTTGGTCTCGGAACCATAAGCATGAAGTACGTTCCTCTTTTTTGCATGTAGTTTATTCTATAAATTAAGAAAAAATTATTTAATTATTGGCCTTTTCTCATGTGTGGAAATGTGCCCCACCCTTAGGCCTAGATCTAGAAAAGGTTTCGGCCGTTTAAGTCAAAATGCGTGTAAATTTAGATTAATGGTACGAAGGTAATGCAACGTAATTTAAGCACTGTGCCACTCGAGGAGACGTAATTATTCGTGCAACGTTACACATTATAAAATAGAAAAATTTGCTATAATTCGATTAATTATAATTAGTATTTGATGCATGAAATTGAAGGAAGATAATTAGATTGGGGAGAAAGTATCGTACTTTTAGAAAAAAAGAGAGAGATGAAGTACCATTCCCAAACTTTTCTATCCCTATGATATCATAGTTGACCTTCGATGGACTTTCTCGAGTAATGATAGCTTCAAAAAGGGTTCGATACGTGCAATAATAACTAGAATAATTGCGACATCTTCTCTTTGCCTTTGAATGTAGTTAAGCTATGATTTGTTCAATTCTGATTAAATCTATTATCAATTAGAGATTATTGTGGGAAGTTTTCGAGTAAATCAGGACATGAATTTCGATAATTGCAACTTTTGGTTACGATGTCGAGTAATGGGTCCTTGATAATCAATTCTATGCCTATCTCAGGAGCCATATAGATTTTTTCGAAAGAAACTCAAACTTTGGATAATTCTTGTTATAAAAAGAAAATTCAATGCAGGAAAAGGATGCGTATCCAACTTGCGTGACTTCAATTCTTGAACGACATCCTTGATGAAAACGGAAAATCTCATTAAACTTCGAAAACCATTTTACACCATCAGTCGGAACTTCATCAAGTTGGTAGCGATAAATGTATTTAAAAAAAAAAAAAAGAATAACGTACACCTATCTCTATCCAAGGTAAACGCCAGTTCAGCCTGATTTCGAGTAGTTCGGGCCGGTTCTCGGTTCTTTTGCACACTCCCTAATTACTTCTTTGAAATGCTAAAAGAAAATTAATCGATTTTCATTTATTAATATACCATATGCCATACTCCCTTCGCCCATGGATTTTGATTCTTTCGATGGATCGAGGAAGCTTAAGCCAAATATCCAAACATTGGGTTTTCTTTCAAAACGACCCTATCCGCTAGGAATGATTGAAACAAATTGATTTAGAGACCGATGACATGGACTCCACTCGACTAATGCGCAAGACCACTCGCAATTTTTCTCGCGCCCCTCCATAAAACCGAGTCACAGAAAAGCAAATCTCAGCAATGCCCAACGCGGGTTCTTTCCTTTCGCGACGCATGATTCAATACTGCTCGCGCGGCATCAAAGAGCATACGAGGCGCACGATACGCTCACTAATCTTAACGAAAGCTAATTAATTTGGCACCCTTAATTAAATCGAAATACGGGATTGATCGAAACTGAACAAAGATTAGGGAGGTGGGGGGAGGGCTTTGTTTTTGTCACTTGCGATTCGCAACAATCTGCATGCTCGATGGAAATGTGAAAAAGGAGCCCGGGAGTGCCACTCGAGGATGGCTCGATGGCCATTGCTGCTGAAACTCTGCGTACAAGTCAAGCGCTCGACGACGAATCGCAAAGCCCAACCATCAATTCCCACCATTCCCACCCCCCTCCCGGCACACATCTCCACTCGCCATTGCCAGCCCACCACCACCACCACCACCTCTCTCTCTCTCTCTCTCTCTCTCTTCTCCCTGTCTTTCATACATGAACGTGTTCGCGCTTGTTGCTCCCATAGTCCCATGTCCATTTGATAAATACATTTGATTTGGCCGAGCTGTCTGAAATCTGCCACCACCACCACACCACACCACACCACCCTCCTCTCCTCCCACGCCCCAGTTTCCTCCACCCGAGTGGCGACGCCGCGCTACCCGCCACGGCCACCCTCAACCACCACCTGCTCTCTCTCTCCCCTCTCCCCCTCCTCCTTCCCCTTTTCTTTCCTTTCTTTTTTCCTCGGTCTCTGCGTGGTCGGAACCATCCAAAAGCCATAGCTTCGACCTGCTTCCTCGTTATCTTAATCCTCCCCCCCTAATCAAATCCCCCCGCAACAAAAAGGGTCCTTGAAGGCCGTGTTGGGTCTCTTGCGAAATCGAGAGATCGAGCGAGAGGGAGGGAGAAAAGAGGGTAGTAGAATCCCAACGCTGTGTTTTAAGTATTTGGTTTTTACCTTTTCGTCGAGCACTTGGCGTGCATTCCTTGGTCTTCGCCTCTCCTCTCCCCAATATATTTACACCCGCCACGAGCCCTCCTCCCCTCTGTTCCCCCCCCCTCATTTGGCCGCCCTCGCCCCTTCGTTTCTCTCCCTGTTATGAAGAATTGGTGCTCATGGCTGCTTGCGCTTTGCTGAGCGGTGGCGACAATGGCGGCAGCAACAACGACGACAGCAGCGGCCGCCGCGAGAGCCCGAGCTTCATGAGCTCCTCCAACGTCGGCGGCGCCGGCGACCACCTCCTCGGCACCCTCCACCACCACCACCACCGCCGTCACCAGCAGCAGCAGCAACCGACGCACGAAGAGCAGCGCCGCCTCCTGGAGAGCGGTAACAGGATGGTGAGGAAGAGGATGGCTTCGGAGCTCGAGGTGCAGGCGCCCCCCGCCGCCGCCGATTACCTCAGGCTCTCCCGGCGAAACACCGCCTCCGCCTCGGCCGCCGCCGCCGCCGCCGTCGCCAACGCTTCGCTGATGAGCAACCCTCTATCGGACGCGCACTGCTTCGTGCCCTCGAGAGATATTATCATCCCCAACCACTCCACTATGACCATGCTACCTTCTTCCACGAACTTGACCGTGACGTCAGTCGGGCCAGGGTTTTTATCCCCCACTCCATGCACCAGCATCGCGACGAGGACGACGACGACCACCACCTCGCCTTACGCTGCCGAGGCCGCCCTCCCGCCCCTCCTCCCGTCTCAGCCCCAGCCCCAGCTCCAAACCCCCGCGCTCTGCGTCTTCTCCGGCCTCCCGCTGTTCCCGCCGGAGAAACCCCGCTCCGCCGCCGGTTTCGCGCCGCCTCCTCCGACGGCGATAAACCCTAGCGTCGGCGCCGGGGGCATTCCCATGGAGGACAGCTCAGCGATGGCGTGGGTCGACGGTATCATCAAGGATCTCATCCAGAACTCCACGTCCGTGTCGATCCCTCAGCTCATCCATAACGTGAGGGAGATCATCTACCCTTGCAACCCTAACCTCGCCGCCGTTCTCGAGTACCGGCTACGCTCGCTCATGAAGGAGCCGGTTCCGACGGTGGATTTGCAGTTACAGAGGCAGTATAATAACCAGCATTTCTCTCTCCCCGATTCGATGATCCATCAGAGTCAGTACTTGAACTATGGCCTCGCATCGCTGCCGGCGGCCGTCGGCCAAGAGAGCAGCCGCCGCTTGCAGGAGCACGAGGCGAGCGCTTCGTCGGCGGGGGCTCCGGTTCTGACGTTGAACCAGGTGCAGCAGCAGCAGCAGCCGCCGCCTAATAATCCGCCGCAGCTTCAGCCGCCGGAGCCGCTGCAACAACCGCCACCTCAGCAGCAGCAGCAGCAGCAGCGCAGCGAGGCGGAGAACGAGAAATCGTCCACCTCCGGGGAGACGGCGCCGACTCCGACGGCCACGGCCGCCTCCGCCGCCACGGCCCTGGCCCTGGCGAGGGAGAGGAAGGAGGAGATGCGGAACCAGAAGAAGGACGAGGAAGGCCTGCACCTGCTGACCCTGCTCCTCCAGTGCGCGGAGGCCGTGTCCGCGGACAACCTCGAGGAGGCCAACCGGATGCTGCTGGAGATCTCCGAGCTCTCAACGCCGTACGGCACCTCGGCGCAGCGCGTCGCGGCCTACTTCTCGGAGGCGATCTCGGCCCGGCTCGTGAACTCCTGCCTGGGGATCTACACAACGCTGCCCTCCGTGCCGCACAGCCACAAGATCTCCTCCGCCTTCCAGGTAGGGTTTTTGTCAATTCATGTCGCGTTATCCTATCCGAGATCGTCGTGTCCGTGTTGGGTAAGGTTCGGCCGGTCGTGTTCTCATCGTGTTCTCGTGCTTGTTGCTGCTGCTGCTCTCAGGTCTTCAATGGGATCAGCCCGTTCGTCAAGTTCTCCCACTTCACGGCGAACCAGGCGATCCAGGAGGCGTTCGAGCGCGAGGAGAGGGTCCACATCATCGACCTCGACATCATGCAGGGCCTGCAGTGGCCGGGGCTGTTCCACATACTCGCGTCGCGGCCCGGCGGCCCGCCGCACGTCCGGCTCACGGGGCTGGGCACCTCCGTGGAGGCCCTGGAGGCCACGGGGAAGCGGCTGGCCGACTTCGCCGACAAGCTGGGATTGCCGTTCGAGTTCATCCCGGTGGCGGAGAAGGTCGGGAACTTGGACCCGGAGAGGCTGAACGTGAGCAAGAGGGAGGCCGTGGCGGTTCACATGTTGCAGCACTCGCTCTACGACGTCACGGGTTCTGATGCCAACACGCTTTGGCTTTTGCAGAGGTAAAGGAAAGAAAAGAAGTGTGAACGATCTTTTCACAATCCCAATACCGATTTTTGCTCGTTCTTTGCTTTTGGCGTTCCAAGTTCAAATTTTTATCTTCCCGAGATGTAGTTGAAGAGGTCTAGCAAGTAGGGTAGCTTCTCTTTTCTGCTATCTAGTCGCGGGAGTAACGATGCCATCGCCATTTCATGTGTGCTGTGAAGTGTGTGGTTTTGCCTTTTGACTGTTCACATTTTGGGTTTTGGTTGGTCATCATTTCAGATAGAAGTGGACGTGTGATTTTGATTACCCAGTTGTTTTTTCCCTTTGTTTCTAAAGAAATAAAGGATGGCTGGGCGATGAAAGATTGCACCTTTTCTTGATTCAGTGAAAGGAAAGCAATAGCAAAAGAGAACCCAACTTAGATAGCTGCACCATCTTTTTCCACACAAAAGGAAGTTCCTTTTTGTTCCCATTAGGCACGTCCAAGTCGCTTCCATGGGAGGAGCGAAAATCATTGCCCACTTGGTCCCCGTTTTTCTCCATTGAAGGAGCTGTAAAGTTGTCCTCCACATTTGATTGTCTGATCTTTACATCTCCCTGGGAACACTATTCTCAAATAATGATGGTTAGAAGCGGGTGCATTTGAGGTTCAATGCTCCACATTATTTGGGTTGTAACATGACCATTTAGTCTTTTCCTGTAATCTAGATTGGCCCCGAAGGTGGTCACGGTGGTGGAGCAGGACCTGAGCCACGCGGGGTCGTTCCTCGGTCGCTTCGTGGAGGCGATCCACTACTACTCGGCGCTGTTCGACTCGCTGGGGGCGAGCTATGGGGAGGAGAGCGAGGAGAGGAACGTGGTCGAGCAGCAGCTGCTCTCCAGAGAGATCCGGAACGTGCTCGCGTTCGGCGGACTGTCGAGGAGCGGGGAGGCCAAGTTCACCAGCTGGAGGGAGAAGCTGCAGCAAGCCGGGTTCAGGGGTGTCTCCCTCGCCGGGAACGCCGCGACGCAGGCCACGCTGCTCCTCGGGATGTTCTCCTGCGATGGGTACACGCTGGTGGAGGACAACGGGGCTCTCAGGCTCGGGTGGAAGGACCTGTGCTTGCTCACCGCGTCCGCATGGAGCCCGCTGAATCTGCATGCAGCCTCGGCCGGGCTCATTCGCCATTTCTCTCACTAGGCCAGAGACTTCGCTCGGGGCAAACCACGTCGGCGGCATGGATGTCGACCATGATTACGAGGACTTTCTTCTGGTGGTGATGTGGGAAACTGAACTATCATGGGTTTAGTGAGGATTTTCTAGTTGCTGGGACTATGGTTGAGAATGTGATTTAGGTGAGCCGGGTGATATCATGTGCTAGGAAAATGGGTTGCACCAATACGAGTCCTCTCCTTTTGGCCTTATAAAGATTTTCTACATGCTTGTTACATTTTCTGTCTCCATCGCCTTAAATTTCTTGTCTAGTGAGAAAACTGAGATAATAGTCCATTGTTAAACTTTAGGACATTGTCAAAGAGTTTTGTGACCGGACATTTCTTTTGAAGTTTTATTTATGAGAAAAAGAGGTGATCCCAAGCACTCAAGGAGAGAGGAAAATCAACTTGGTTATCTACATTTCAAACTTTTTTTAGCTTGACTTGATACTTTGATAGTTTTCGATTTCCAGAAAAATGCCCATTTATCTTCTGAAAATGGAGATATCATGTCAATTTGTCTTGCATATGTAAATTTGTCTTTTTATCTCATGATTTAACCCCCGAGTTACTTCAATGAACTTGATGAGCTTTTAATTTAAACAAAAGTTTATCATATGGACATTAGGATTGTCTATATTACTTATAAGTCAAAACCTAATATTACTACCAAATTTGTATTTTGAAAATGTCTACTTTTTTATTTTTTAGCAATTTAGGGGCACGAATGTAAAGGTCCAATGATCTGAAAGCTCAAAAAAAAATTGATCTAAAAGCTCAAGGAACAACGTGCAAGTCTCATGAACTGATTAATCCAAATTGCTATGCAAGTGATCCCGACTTAGAGTAATTTGCATGCAATGAGTGGGATTCGAAGAAATTCAATCAAGTGTGCCTACATCGGAGGATTTGAAAATGTCTTAATTACGTTAACAATTGCGTGCCTTGCTAATTTTGCTGGAATTAGATTTCTGACTTCTGTGGCCCTAATGAAATCTCTTAAATAGTTACATATTGACCACACAAATTAGGGAAATTGCATCGAGACTTTGTAAGTCGAAAACGAAAGCATTGAATAAATATATTCTTTTTGTGAGAAATGAGCACGTCTAAAATGCATGTGATAGCTTCGGGGGAAACATTTTAAGTATATATAGTTCTAATGCATGTCCGTTAGATCATGTGGGTCCGTTAAATCACATGGTCCTGTATGAAAGTCGCATGATCTAAGTGCACCTGGACTAAGTGTTTTTGACATACCCGTTAATCATTCTAGCTTTAGTGGTTGTCATGTCAAATAATTATGTAATATTTGACAAAAGAAAAATAATTTCATGATATATCTTATAGGAGGAGTATGGATGAAATTATAAGTAAGAAAATTGTGCGTCGGGCGTTTTTGCAAATCGCCTGAGATCGAATCATCAGGAACAGTAATTATTGGATCACAAAAGAACAGATCTCGATTGTCCATCGAAAATCTTTGAAATTTTTCTGAGGTACAACATTTTGTATATAAGGTACGACAAAATGTATTAGGGTACGACTTTTTAAGGACGGTGAATGAGTCCCTCGAAAGATCGTAGAAGTCTCCATTATGCAACATATAACTTTTAAAACGGGGTGTCATGTTCGGACATTCTACCCTAATTATTTTGTCGAAGAGGTTATCCACCATTTGTGTCCTTTCCTCAATTTGAATTTCGCATTATGAGATTCCCTCACTTTTGGCTCTCAATTTATGTAGAAACAGACAGACTCTGCATAAACATCTTCTAATGCTGCAGTGCCCAGGAGAAAAAAACAGAAACTATTGTAACGAAACACGACTCTAGTTATTGTCTGCTTCATAGTAATATTAGCTTTACAAATAGAGGACAAATGAAGATAATACTCAATCCCTCTCGTCTACCTCAAAAGTTCTGCTCATGTTGCTGCAGCCTTACCCGTGTGTCATCTCTTATTGCATTGAAGCCAAGTTGACCTTCTTCTTTATTGTTAAGCGAAGAAAAAAGATTGAAAGACTAGGGACATAAACATCTGAATCACAAAGTGCTGAAAATAACTAGTTAAAGATGATGATCTGCTATTTTGGTTCGATCTTCATGGAAACCGTGTACCCGCCGCTGTAGTCGAAGGAGTCGTTGCTCTCGTTGCTGGTATCCAGTTTTGGCGTTGTGTCGCTGTAAGAATGCTTAAATGGTCCCCTCGGTGCCCCGAAGTCCGTGGCGGATGACAAAGTGGAAGTCGAGTTCGTGTTGATTCCGTCGTGCTGCAAGATGCTCTCGATTGTCTTCACCACCTCGCTCATCGTGGGGCGGTCCGAGGCCGACTCCTCGACGCACCTCATGGCCAGCTCCAGGAATATAGCGAAGCCGACGAGATATCCCGAGTTTCTGATCGATGGATCCATCTTTTCTCCCAGGCCATAGTGCTCGTCGTCCCTCGCGTCCATCGCCGTGCACACTTCCCGCACAATGTATTTGCCCTTTTCGATTGGCTGCCTCGCGGTTATCAGCTCGAGCATGACCACGCCGAAGCTGTACACGTCGCTCTTTTCTGTTAGTTGTTGGGTCATGTAGTACTCCGGATCCAGATAGCCCTGCCACAGATTCCCAGTTACGAAGTAGATGTTAGACTTGGAAGTCTTAATGGAAGCTACGGATCATATGATCTCATTTCATCTTACTTGTTAACCCATCCACATCACAAGAAATTTCGAGGCTCTAAAAATTATCTCTGACGGAAGCTTTTATTGTGATTTAGGTACTGATATAGGAACTACACAATTCGAATTCTGGTGATAACTTCAAGAAGATAAAATGAAGATCAAAAGGGAAGCCGCTCGATGAATCATGTTCTGCTGTTTCTTCGCAAACCTAGAGCTAACTAAGCGGCAAGACATACCAGTGTGCCCTTGACTTGAGTTGAAACATGCCCCTTCTCGCTGTCTGATACCTGCTTGCACAAGCCGAAATCAGCAACTTTTGCCATTAGATTTTCGTCCAACAGGATGTTAGTCGACTTGATGTCTCGGTGGATTATAGGAGGATTCGCAAGCTCGTGAAGGTACGCTATCCCCCTAGCGGACCCGAGAGCGATCCGGAGTCGCCTCCTCCAATCAAGGTGAATGCCGGATTTTCCTGCCACACAAGTGAAATGTGCTATGAAAAAGATGTTATATGCAGCAGCGTCTGGAGAGAGTCACGAAATGTATAATGACTCATGAGCCGTTGAGCACAATCTACTTATGTTTTCGAAGCACTTTTGCTTTAAGTTAAGGATCTTGGTGAGACATTGAAATTTACCTGACAAGCTCGCTCTGAGTGTTCCATTAGGCACAAATTCGTAGATCAACATCTGCTCTCTCTGCTCGAAGCAGAAACCCACGAGCCCGACGAGATTTTTGTGATGAACTCTCGATAAGAGCTCGATCTCTGTCTTGAATTCGAGACCGCCCTGCATCGATCCTTGTTGAGCTCTTTTGGTTGCGATCATTTGTCCATTGGGGAGCATTCCCCTGTAGACCTAGAGGAAATGGCAACACAAGAATCAACAATTAGTAGCTATGTGCAGAAACTTCATAGGTTTGTTAACCATTCGATCCAGAGAAAATATCAACTTAATCAGTAAAATCGATGAAAAGCCGCACGAAAGGCGATTGTGAAAGAATCACCTTGCCATAGCCTCCAGAACCGATCTCATTTTTTTCGGAGAAGTTATTGGTGCACTTTTTGAGTTCATCGTAAGAAAACCATCTCGCTCCCTTCAGCTGAGGCGCGCCTCCACTGTGCTTCCCGCTCGGCGCCCATGACGCTGCAAGAGAGACACTGATCTAAGTCAAATGTCCTTCACCAGCGTATGTGAATTCAGTGCGACAATGAAAGCTTTTGTGCAGAAAATTACCGAAGGGTTTGCTCAAGCCGATAGCCTTCTCGGCACGTTGCTTTTGCCGAACCGCGTATGCACCTATTGCAATGACGCCAAGTAGTAGAATTCCACATCCAACTGCGACGCCAACTATTGCCCCAGCACTCATGGATCGTTTATGATCTGAAATAGTGGCCTTTTTTTCGTCAATATATCAATTCTCAATGTCGAGGGTAGAATCAAATTCTTACAGAGTTTATATTCAAGTTACCTTGAAAAGCATAAGGCGAGGCGAGGAAGTAATAAGGACCGAATTGTCCAGGCGGTTTGAAAGTCTGGTTGCTCAAGTCAAATCCCATCCTCAAGATCTCCGACCGGTTGAAATACTTCCCCTTGGCCGGGAAGAGCGCCACCGGAACTTGCAGATAGTCGTTTGTATTGAAGAAAGGATTGTCTATGAAAACCGAACCTGGGGCGAGGTCCAATATAGTCCCGAGGCTCTTTTCTAGTTCCTGAAACAAATTCACATTTATTTCCTTGAAGGAAGGTCCTCTGAAAAATAATGTTCCTTCGTATGGAAAAGCGCAACTGCATCTATGAGGGCTGAGCTTTTGATAGTGTCGACAAGATTTTGCCCTGCAACTCATGGGGGTGGAATAAGATTTCTTGGCTTGCTGCGGCTGACAGTAGATGGTATTCTCAAGACTTGTGTTGCAGACTGGATTGCCTAATAACCTGAAAGCACAGAATCATTAGCATGATTAGTGATCATCGGAGAAAGAGAGAAGGCACGTTCTTGCCCATGACAAAAATATATTTGGATGAACTTTCTCACATCAGTGTATTGCCATATGAAAGAAAATTCTGCGTGACCAGAGAAATCCGGTTATGCTGCAGATCGATGCTCCCGAGTTGTGGGCTAAAGTTGCTGCTCATGTTCAATGTGCCGCTGAGTGCGTTGTTTCTCAATTGTCTGTCCAGTTAGAAAAAAAGGATGATTCTGGTCTCGAAATCGCACTTCCTTTTTCCTACGAAAAATGGTCTAAAACATATGATCTTACATTACTTGAATTGGTGGGTTGCTGAAGATTCCTTCTGGTAGAGTCCCTTGAAGCGATCCGTATTCTACAACCCTGACCAAAATAGCTCTTCAGAGAATTCCCAAAAGATCTTACCACCAGCTTGGGGAAAAAAATTACTGAATATGCTTCGAGTACAAGGAGGACGTACAGAGTGGTAAGCGATGGTAAGGTCCAGAACCACTCTGGAACATCTGTTGGGTCGAAATAATTGTTGCTAAGATCCCTATTTAGTACACAACGTTGACCTTCATCAGCGCAAAAGGAGAGAATAAAACGTGTAGTGTAAAATCAGTACCATCGAGTACATGGGCATTTACTCACACGGAGCTAAGCGATTTCATGTTGCTTAAATCTGGGAAAGAACCATTCAGTCTGTTGTACGCTAAATTCCTGAAAGAGATCACAGCAGCAATTTCACTGGACTTAAAGCTGGCATATCGGAATACATGCTAAGGGATTAATGAAATAGGTACTAACAATTCATTGACGTTCACAAGTTTGCTGATATTTGATGGAACTTCTCCCGAAAAGGAATTCCTGTCAAGACGACTGTCGCATTTGTGGCACCGAGTTCAATGACAGAACAAGAATGGTCACGATAGCTTCGCGTGACTGATAAAAAAGATTCGCCAGAATCCATATAAAGAGATTTTCACTTACAGAACCTCAAGTGTCTGAACAAGTCCTAATGTGGACGGGATTGATCCGTTAAATTGGTTAGAATCGAATAATCTGTGAGAAAGGAAAATTTAACTGCTTATTAAGAGGACGGTGGCGGAGTACGTTAACAATCGAGTATCAACTTACACATCCATCACTTGAGCGAAAAACTTACACATGTAACAGTTTCATTTTCGGGCTGAATAGTCGGTCCGGAATGGAACCCGAGAGCTGATTCTTGTTGAAATGGCTGAAAAACCAAACCAAGAACGAGTGACTTCTTTGCGGTCCATTTCGAAAGAAATTAAATAGATCTCATTCCGATCATACCCAGGCGGACAACCATACATGCTCATACATGTACGCATTAACACGTTTTGCATTTACCTTGAATCTATACTAGCAAATTAATTAGATGAAACTCACAAGTGCTTGGTATTTAGGAGAAGATCCAATCCAGGGGATCCAGGGGTGTCATCCGAGAGTGGTATTGGTCCAGTTAACTGGTTTTCGCCCAAATCGAGCATACCGAGTCGTGACAGTTTCCCCAGAGAAGCAGGAATTTTACCGGTGAACTTATTATTGTTGAGAGCCCTGGCAAGAAGGTTAGCTTGAACGGAGAGAATAAGTCACTTATACACTGAATAACCAAACGAAATTCCCATAATGACAATCCCGAATTCTTACAAGAAGGTCAGCTGAGAGAGCTCGCCAAGCTCATCAGGAATATTGCCGGTGAAGCCACAACCTGCTAAGATTCTGATAGAAGAAATACTAAGCACAGTGCAAAAGTGAAAAAAAGAAAAAAAAACAGAAGAACACAAACTTTTTCGAGATCAAAAAACATTCTCGCGAAGGAGCTATTACAAAGTATTAAGCTTCGATAAATCTCCTAGTCGGGGCGTGAGGGGACCGGTGAGGTCTGTGTTAAAAGACAGATCCCTGGAAATAAGATAGAACCGATTGCGATGAGAAAAAAATAGACATGAGTTGAGATTGAGCCTATCAAGAAATATAGCTCTTCTCTTTGAATTGAAGTGCCTGCTACTAAAATCAGGAAGAACTTCTATCTGATCTTAGTTATGAATCATTCTTTAAAGGCCAGAGGACTTACAAAGATCTTAGCTCCGTCAGGCCTCCTATGTCACCGCTCAATGACCCTTGGATGCTCATAGATGAAAGGCCCCTGAAACCAATAATAGCCGCACGACATTATTGTACATCGATTGATTGTGAGTCATATATGGAGTACAGCGATGGGCATTTCACGGAAAAAGGTGAAGTGAAACTACTGTACTCACAGTGCGGTCACCCTCGAACCGTTGCAGGTCACGCCATCCCAAGGTGTCCCGCAGGGGTCGTCTTTCGCCCAGCTCGGCGGCGTGTTCTGCCATATTCCCCGTAGAGATTGAAGCGCTGCAGCTGATCATGTGACATTTTGAAGCGAAAAAGAGTTTATTGGATGCGCGTGCTTAATTATTTTTCAAAATTACTAAGTCTACATATGTAATATAGCATACTTCCTACATGTTGAAAACTCCCGAGTCCCAAATATCCCCCCTTAGCTTGTTCATTCACAATCACAATCTCACAAATACAGGAATCAGAGCAATAAATCATACACTAACTGGGCCATCTAAATGTATTGGCGTAACAAAGTAACGAATCTTATTGGTCTAACATGCACTCTCAAGAATTTACTTACAGTCACCAGGATCAGTGAAAGAGCAGATGACATGAATCCCAGCAAGTGAGAAAGCCAGGAAGAAGACCAATCTCATCATGATTTCTGTGATTGCCACCAAAAAACCCAAAAAAAGAAGGAGAGCAAAGCTTGGTCTTAGTAGACAACAATCCTCAGCCACTCTAAGTTCATGATATGATCCTCACTGAGAAAGTTATCGGCAAAACTCTCATTTTTGGAGCAAGAAAAGGGTGTGTCTGGGAGTTAAGTTGATTGATATGCTCTTGGAATTGCAAGAAGTGTCTCAAGATCCTCGAAGCTGAGACAAAAGGAAAGACACAGAGAGAGAGGGAGAGGCTTTTGTGGGTGGTTAATCTTGATTAGGGAGGTGTTCTCTTCTTTTGTTTGCCGTGTCTTGGAAGCCAAAGCTCAGTAATCATTGTTATGCTTCAATTCTTCCGCGTTAATGCCTTTGCTTGGTCACTGTCATAAACAATTAAACAATGCGCTCACCGTGTTCTCCGTCCGCCAGCTTTTCCAAAGATGACAAACTACCAGGAAACAAGGATTTTTTAGAGCAGGATACAAGGCACATTTTCAATCCAATGCCTTTGTTTTGTATAGAGGGCACCCGTTATCCCTCGAATTTTTGCGAACCAGAACAGTTTAATCGGTACGGCGACTTGTCATGTGATATCAAGCATTCTTTCTTCCTCAATTTTCACTCGTGCCCGGTCACCCGACTCGACGTTCAATCGTCATTCTAGTAAAAACAAATCAATCCCATGATGTCCCTCCCAGGATTAGTAAGGAAAAACATAAATCTCATGTCTACTTTAAACATGCCCGTTTGATCGTGGCGAAATGGATATGTCAAACATCGATTTTGGAAGAGGGTTTGCCATCGTCAATGGTTACAATACCAATAAGTTGCTCATTAACACATACACCATCGAAGATTTGACGAAAGAAGTGGAACGATGATAAGTACACATCGACTCACGAGATCGATCTACAACGTAACACGTAGGATCAGGTACGATTAATCGTCGAAATGCCACTTGGAGCTTTTACTTATTCCTTTTGGCGCGTAAGACCCATTTGGAGACTACTACGCAGTTTGTAAACTAATTCAATACGAGGGGTCGAGGACTGCAATGGAATGAGTGGGTCGGCGACAAACAAAGAGGTCGATTCCTCTTTTGTCCTGCCTCGTACTCTCTGTTGCTTAGCAGTCACTCTATGCAGTGCCATTCGCTTGTCCTCTTTCCTTTGGTTGATGCACTCGCGAAATTCGATCATTTGAATAATCGCAGGAAGCACAACCCTCCTCATGTTGACAACTAACACTCTTTGGCAGGACAAGCATAATAAGTTTTTATGTGCCGGCCGAAAGCAAGTAATTACCGAAGCTTAAAGGAATAAGTGCACTGGAAGTTTATGTTGGAGTATACTTGGATAGTATGAGGATGTATAGACTTAGAAGACGGAGGGAGAGGATGCGACGAGCCCTTATGATGGAGAATGCGTTTTTCGGTGTTGATTCATAGCACAGTATTTCTCTCTGAATGTCTCAGCGATCGAATCACGTCATTTTGATTCAGTTTTTTCAGCTATGGACTGCATAATCATCATAATTTAGAGATGGAGGGGAGTCAAATCCATCGACACAAACCTCTAATTCAGAAACTACAGAGCTCTAACTCTGTTTTCGAACTCTTCGCCCTCTCGAAATCTCTTTTGTTGTATTTCTGCTAATAACTTCACGCTTGCCGCATTGTTCGAGTTATAAGGGCCTACAATGGCCGGAAAGGATCTTCGCCTCGGATTGGCACATGTATTCTTCACATTAAATGGACGCAATACCTTCACTCGAGGAGATCGCCCCGAGCCCGTCAACATTTCCGAATGACATTGACGTACTTCTTGCGCTCCACAGCTTCCCCACCTGTGTAGATGATTGAACTCCTTTTGATGACTCGTCCCCCTTGTAGAGCCCATAAAGACCGAGAAGATTGACCCAAGAATAGATTTCATGAGACCCTACCCTTCATCTTAGAATTCAAACTTAGGGTATGTTTGTTTGAGTGAAATAATTATTCGCAAATTAGTTTCCCGCGTTTGGTTTGCTGGCAATGATTAGTCAACGGAAAACCATATAGAGTAAATATGCATGCTTAAAGTTAGGAAAATGAATTCTCCAATCTGAAAAGAGGACATTTTTTCCTTAAACATGATTTTTCGGGAAATATTTTCTTTTATCGTAGAGTTTTACCAAAACAAACACGCCCTTAATCATTAATTACGAGGAGATGGGAACGATGGAACACCTATGATTAGACGATCGGTACATTGAAATCTCCGAGTTGTCCAAGTAGTGCAGGCCTCTTGGATAGTTCTGCGCCCGATTCAACTTTTATGCTGCTTATATAATTCATACTACACACTCATAAGTGCAAAGAATGATCAATTTGCAGCGTTAGAATGATAGAAAAATGACCAATACATATTGAACAAATCGACTAAAAGACCGAAAATATTTGTCATGGTCCAATATTGTTCTTTTTTTAGCTTACAATAATTCCTCTGAACATCTCATATTCCAATCATCTTGTTAACAAGTGTCCAAAGACACTAGTAAACGTCAAGCTTGCGAAGTGGGGGTTCAATTCAATGCCTCAAATAATATTGTCGTTAAACCTCGCCTATTTTGATTAGGACACGCGTGCTTGCATCGAACCATAGCATCACTAGAGTATCGTTATCAGATTAATAAACTTGTCTGAACGTCAAGAAACTCTGCAGACTATGAAGACGGTAGAAATGCAGCGATGAAAGATCAAACTCTTCTTTATTGAGTGGACAAAAGCTAAGGAAAAGTGGAGGAAAGTAGACACCAAACTGCCTTCGATTCATTGACGAGTATGACCATCTTTACTGCCGCAATGTTGAGGGCCATTAGACATAATTAACACAGACACAGTCGAAAGGCGAAAATTGATCGATCCGAACAAAATTAGGTCAATTATGAGAAAATCAAGTTGCCGTTGTGTAATGATGGAACCATAATAGGATCATCAATAGGCCTTTAGTTTTTTATTACCCAAAGAAATGCAAGTCATACTCCTGATGCTTGCTAGTTTGCACTAAAAGTAATCAAAACCGAGAGATTTACTCACCATTTAAGCTTTCAAATTGTCCTGGAAAACTGTCAACTGTGTCTCTCTAGATGCCCAAGGTTGTATTGAAAGCATAACGAGATGCCATAAACTAATAGGGACCGAGTTGTTGAGGCGGTTTACAAATTTGGCTGCTCAGGTCGAGTCCGATGCGTGTGATCTCCGAACCATTGAATTGATTTCCCGGGGACGGGAAGAGCGCAACTTGAACTTCCAGATAGTTGTCGATATTGAAGAAGGGGTTCTCTAGGAAAACCGAGTGGGGAGCGAGGTCCAATCCTGTTCGGAGGCTCTCCTCGAGATCCTGAAACAAGGTCACATTGATTTCCCTGAAGGAGGGTGCTTTGAAATATAATTTTCCTTGGTACGGAAAAGCGCAATTGCAGCTCTGAGGGCTGAGCATTTGGTTGTGTGGACACGAATTGTTTCCGCAATGCGCGAGGCTGGTAGAATAATTAGACGTCGCAGGTTGTTGTGGAGGTTGGCAGTAGCTTGTGTTTGCAAGACTGTTGTTGGAGACCGGATTGCCTAAGAGCCTGAATTGACAAGATTTCATCAGTAAGATTAACGATCATCAGAAGCGAAAATGCACATTGCTGGTAATGCAAAAAATATAATTTCTCACACTAGTGTATTGGCATATTCTGATGAATTGGTTTCCACCAAGGAAATCTGATTATATCGGAGATTGGCGAGCTCCAGATTACGGCTGATATTGCTGCTCATGTTCAATGTGCCATTGATTGCATTGTTTCTCAATTTTCTGGTTGAGTTTGCACAAAAGAAATTATTTTTAGTCTCGAAATTGAGCTTTACACATTAGGATAAATATGTCCATGAAAATGTGATCTTACACAAATGGAAGCTCTGGACTGCTGAACAGTTCTTTCGGTAGAGGCCCTTGAAGCGATCCGTTCTCCACAATCCTGCACAAACCTGTACTTTAGAGAGTCTCAAACGATCTCACCACCAGATTGCGAAAAAATATTTTGCGACCCCTTAATGACCGACACAAGGACGTACAGAGTGCTTAGCCATGGCAAGTTTGAGAGCCAATCTGGAACATCTGTCGGGCTGAAGTAATTGTTGCTGAGATCCCTGTTTAGTACATGATACCGACCATCGTTAGTACAAAAGCAGGGATGGACTGTGTGATGTGGAATTGGGACGTTTGAGTGTTCGACATCTACTCACACGAAGGTATGCGACTCCATTTTGCTCAAATCGGGAAAGAGACCAGTCAGGCTGTTGTATGCTAAATTCCTGAAAGAGAAGCCAAGCGCAAGGCCGGAGAATGTGTCCGTGAACTCTAACTGGCATAACGGAAAGCATTGAAAACATTGGACAAGAAAAAAGGTACTGACAATTCAATGACGTTGACAAGGTTGTTGAGACTCGCGGGGACTTCCCCCGAAAACGAATTGTTGTCAAGTCGACTTTTGCATTTTGCACCAAATCAACAGAGACATCAGGTCATAAAGGTTTGGGTGGCCAATTAAAAGAACAAGAGGATAGCATATGAATTTTCACGTACAGAACCTCGAGTGTCAGAACAAGTCCTAATGTCGACGGGATAGGTCCGCTAAGTTGATTGTTATCAAGTACTCTGCCAGAAAGAAATGGAACTGGTTAAGAGGATAGCACAAAAGTACAATAAATAATTAACTATCCACTTACAAGTGCGTCAATTTCATGTCTGCGCTGAATAGTTTCTCAGGAATGGAACCGGAGAAAAGGTTCTTATTGAGACGGCTGTATATGCAGAGAGAGAATGAGATTATACAGGTCAAAACATGTATGTGCGAAAATATGCGTGCACTGATCTCGAAGCTATATGAGCAAAGAAATCAGATGATTACTCACAAGTGCTTGGCATCTAGGAGAAGATCCAAGCCCGGGGCACTGTCTGTCGAAACAGGTATAGTCCCACTAAACTGGTTTCCAGCCAAATCGAGCCAAAAGAGCTGGGACAATTTGCCCAGAGAGGGAGGAAGACTACCAACGAAGTAATTATCACTAATAAGAGCCCTGGCAAGAAGGTTAGATTAAACAAGAGATTAAGTCACTCTTACACCGGATAACCCAACAAAAATCCCAGTTGTGGAACAAGATGGTTAGATTGAACAGAACTTCAGTATATCAATCCTGGATTCTTACAAGAAGACCGGGTTGGAAAGTTTGCTCAACTCATCAGGAATCTCGCCGGTGAAGCCACAGCCTGCTAAAATTCTGACAGTTGAAAGAATAAGCACACGAATAAAGAAAAAGGTAAAGGATGATTTTTCTTCTGGAGATTAAGAAATGATAATGTGAAATAGTCATTACAAGGTAGTTAGCTTCTGCAGATCTCCCAGTTGCGGTACGAGGGGACCGGTGAGTTCTCTGTTAAAAGACAGATCCCTGGAAAGAAGATAGAAGTGTAATGAAAACAAAAACCGACATAAGTCAAGATCAACGATACAGAGAACTAGCCCTTGCATCAAAGATTTCCCACGAGCGAACTTTGCTAAATCACAAAAATGTTTGTGGTATCTAACTTTTCAAATTCATTGAAGACCAGAGTGCTCACAAAGATATTAGCTCCGTGGGGCTTCCGATGTTGCCACTTAATGACCCTGCGATGTTCCTAGTCGAAAGGCTCCTGAAATAGGATAATCACGGAACATTAGGTGCATTAGTTGAAATAATCCATATGGACAAGAAAATGGATAGATAAAGTTTATAGAAAGTATAAAGGTTCGCAGAAATTTCTCATAGCGCAGACACCCTCGAGTCGTTGCAGGTCACACCATCCCAAGGTGCCCCGCAAGGATCGTCTTTTTCCCAGCTCGGCTGCGTGTTCTGCCATGTTGCCTTCAGAGATTGAAGTGCCGCAGTTAATCATGCGATGTTTTGCAGCAAACAGATTAATCAGATGCAATGCGAGTGCTCCTAACTTGCCTATATAAATGTACTTCCCTACCAAAGTAACAAATGTCTTCTCGTTTGAGGAGAACTGAAGATGATCAAAAGAAAAGTAGGATGTGCACTCTCAGGAGCTAAGGTTGGCGTAACATGAATTCAACTGATCAAATCGAATCGACTTACAGTCACCAGGATCAGTGTATGAGCAGATGACTTGGATCCCAGCAAGCAAGACAGCCAGGAACAAGACCAAACTCTGCATGATTCCCATGGCCTTGTGTTCGTAAAATTCTGCACCTGTCAACGTGTTGAACAAGTAATACAATGATGAGAAGAGTATCATCCCACAGAGATTGATGTTAATAAACCAATTAAATATTAAAAATAAGCTAATTCTAAAATTTATCTAACAGATCAAAATATAATTGAGAACAAATAAAAATTGACAATTTTTAAAAACGAAATTTTATAAACTAAAGGTAGATAATCAATCAGGTAAAATATGTTAGAGCATCTGATTTCACCATAACCACTAGATATGAATTTCGGATCATTATGCATACAGGAACAATATCAAACATGTGATAGCGGAATTTACTAGTCTATTTACTATCCTATTTCTAGGTATAGCAAACCTACTCAGTTTATCAATTCACTATATTTCTATGTGAATTTAAATAAACATAAGCGCATTAAAATCTGTGAATATTCTCGGTTTACAATGAATCTTTTGGACCACCTTATCACCGAAAGCTACACAAATAACATGGTATATTTCTATCCACATTTAATTCATAGTTATATATTATAAGGAGCAATTGCATATTATTACATCTCAGTCTCAAACATGCACATCAGATCATTCAAGTGGTGGCCAATCATCTAAACGCATTAAGCACAATAATATATAACTCATATGAATGAAATTACTTGCAAAGCATAAAAATCATGAAATTTATGTCATCATGGTTAGGCTACATCGTAGCTCTAACAAAGAAAATTAGAACATAATAGAAGAAGAAGCGGCAATAGAAATTAAACCGAACATCTTGAATCAAAGAACAAGGATTCTGTCACCACTTTTGTCTTCTCTTCAAAATACTTGAAAAACTCAACACTGAAAATAAAAACGATCTAAAAGAAAAAAACTCCATGTTCCCCCAAGTTATCCTATTTATATGATAACATTCAAGACTTCTCTCACAAGGCAATTGCTTCTTTTTCGCATAAAATTAGGGAATAAATCATAGAATTCCCAATGTGATATCCATCTTCTAACTCTTCTCTGGGTCGCATATTCCTTTCCTTCTTTTTGCCATATTTTCCTTATTTTCTCCATATCTCAATATTCTGCATAAATAAGAAAAAATTAAGTAAATAAAAGGAAATCCAAATATATTCTAACAAATATTGCATTATTTATTGCCTAGAGTAGATAAAATAACTCTATTTTTATAGAGTTATCACCTTGCTCTTAGTAAAACTGTAAGTTTCAACTTATAATGCAGGAAAAAAGGTGTTTATAGGTGTTTAGTTTTGGTGCTCTTTTTGCCGTCGACATTGACGCCACAGCACACAAAAAGGTCCATTCGCATCCTTGGTCGCTGTCGCGGCAATCATGAACAACCGGACAACGTTTCCACTTAACAGATTTCTCCGCCCGCCGGCTTCCATCGATGACAAATAGAAGGAACAAATGGTTTCTTCAGTCAATAGAAGGAGATGTATTTTTTTGGGCGTATGCGCCACACTCATTGACTAGTTCAAGCCTTCAAGGCACGTATTGACTCGCATCGTTTTCTTATGGCCCCATGGAATTCTAGGAAGGTATGTCATACGACGTTTGAAGGGAAATTACCAAGAAAGTACTAAATCTGTTCCAATGATACAAATCCAGTCATAAACCGTTTTTTTGCTAATCAAGTTTTAAACTTTTTGTATTTATGTTAATTTAGTCCATTCGGCCAATTTGGCCGCCGGTACTGAAGTGGACGCCGACCAGAGCCGGCCATCCTGCGTATGCTGACGTGGACTTTTTTTAATAATTTTTTATTTTTCTAAATATTTTATTTATTTTTTCTTTTTCCTTTTTTCTTTCTATTTTTTTTTCCTTCCTTCTTTTTCGTCGGCCCTTACCTTTGGCGAGTCGCTGAGGTCTGGCGACTGGCTGGAGGAAGAAGGAAGAAGAAGGAAAAAAAAGAGAAAGAAAAAAAAAAGAATAAGAAAAGAATAAAAAATTCAAAAAAAATAATATTTTGTTAAAAATTGTCCATGTCAGCACCGGCCAGCAAAAATTGGCCCGGTGAATTGAATTGGTACAAATGCAAAAGATTTAGGACTCGATTGGCAAAAAAAAAAAAGCTTGGGATTGAATTTGCATAATTACAATAAATTTATGACTTTTTTTGTAAATCTTTCTACGTGTTTGACCAAAGAGATATATGTTATGTCGTTACCAAAACCATAAACATTAGCTAACAAAGACACTTGACTAGTACGTTATACATGAATTATTGAGTCGAACATTTTGATAGAGACGCATCATTTTGAACGCACTTCAATCTCTAAACCGTGCTTGTCTAAATAGACCTTTTATTTTTATTTTTTGTTGTTTGCTTAGTTTAAATCTTTGAGACGCGCGCATTTTGATTTTGATTTTTGTTTTGAAATCCTAAACTCTAGAAACTTTCACAATACGTAGAAGTTGACAAGTAAATTCACATATAATAATACATAGTTTTTCAATATATGCTCTTTGGACAAATAAAACAGTAAGGTCCATTAGATGGTGAGGGGAACATATGAATGCTTATGTTATTTGTTACGAGTCTAATTAAGCTATAAGAGAATAAAATATACTGAGTATATATATCGTATAAGGGCAAAATTTACTTATGTATAAATTTACATGATTAAGGCTCGGTGAATTATCGAATATTGAGCAACAGTTTATATGCCAGCTTAGTGTTTACTGTATATCTCTTGTTTCTCGTCGTATGCTTAGATCCTACACCAAGCAATTCATCTTCTAACTCCACTCACTTCTCTTCTTGACCTTTTGGTTTATACGTAGAATTTGTTTTCTTCGACTCACTAATTTTTATAAATTCAAAATACTCGTAACAAGCGTCGTTCTCGTATTAACACCTTGATACGAGAAAGTACGTAACTTGTACATTAGACGAGGGTTTAACATTTTTACAATTCATAAGTAAAATTTCTCGTTCGTTACAATGCGCAATCGATTTGTTTAAATAGTGACTTGCTTGATGTACTATGTCACTATTAAATCAATATTCGACATTTACTTTAGGAAAATAAGGTGATTGAGTGAGTTGGTTTAATTGTTTCCAAAAATAATGCCACAAACAAGAATCGAATATTTCGCAAGCACATTTCTATAATTTAGGAAGATACAACACCGATAAAGATATTTCAAGGTAAATGCTCGACTTAAAACCGGTCAATGCGCATATATCATCCCTCTTTTCTCATACCATTTTATTATTATTGATGGGCTCATAAAAGTGACAATACGATCATCCGACATATGTATCGTAAGGTTACATTAACGATGTTATGATATTCATGTCTACAAGTATTAATCATACTCTGCTTGCTGAAAAGGTAAGAAATTGTCCGATCGCCGGTGTTTTAAGTAGATGACTTAGAAATCTAAATTTTTTTTATTTTGATGGACCAATGTGGCTCTCTAGTGAGAACCACACAAGGTCAACCTTTTTATTTAAGCTTACAAATTGTCCTGGAAAACAGTCAACAGTGTCTCTCTAGATGTTCAAGGTACACTATTGAAAGCATAAGCAGATGCACTGAAAAAATAGGGACTGAATTGTGGAGGTGGTTTATAGTCTGGTTGCTCAATTTGAATCCGATGCTCGAGATCTCCAGACCATCAAAACGGTTTCCTGTCGACGGGAAGAGCGCAACTCGAATTTCCAGATAGTCGTCGGCACCGAAGGAGGGTTCTCTAGGAAAACTGAGCAGGTGGCGCGCCGGTCCGCAGTGTATGGGGTGTTGTTCTTCAGGTCTCTCATCCCGTTGCAGCACAGTGACCCGGGGTACCCTCCTTTAGTGAGGTACGATGCGCAAGGGCCAAGAGACTTTTCCACGTGCTGACAAGTGATGCCCTCTGCGGGGCTCGCCATGAGTGCTATCATGGCCGCCGCCGCCGCCGCCACCAAAGGGCGCCCTTCATATCTTTTCTCAGTCGACAGAAACTTATGTCGAACTTCTCGAAGAAAGTGTGTGTGTGTGTGTGTGTGTGTGTGTGTGTGTGTGTGTGTGTGTGTGTGTGTGTGTGTTTGAGGATGATATGTGGAGAGAGTACTTATAGCTGTGAATCGAGAACTAGTTCAAAACATGGTGACCAAGATGGTCACCAATAAATAGTACAGAGAACGGTTTTCTGCGACCACACTTTGTGCTTTCACCAGGAACAATTGCTTAGGCTCTGGACAAGTGTTGATGTTTTTGGTTCAAGATGACAAATTTAGTGACTGGGATCAACTCGTCAAAGGGTGACTTTAGCTTCCATTATTTGTGTTGGGCAGACAAACAAAAAAAACAAATACCGGTTCGCGCCCAGACCACAAAACACTTAATAATCCAAAATAACACAAATCAACAAAATTAACATAAAACTAAATTAGTGTAATCACAAACAAAACACAATCCAAGCATCAACGGTGCTAAAAACGTATCATCAAAAAAAATAAAGTGGCCGACTCAACGGGAAGGATATTCCACAAAATAGCCAAGTCCAAGTTGCTCCTATTTGTTTTCTTGCGACCAGAGGATTTATTCCACACAAGTCCACGTTGCTTCTATAGCAAAACCAACATCCTTACCAAATCAAATAAACAATCCATATACCAGCACGATTCAAAATCAAACAATATTAATATCTTCACAAAAATAATAATTTCGATCATAGTTTAAACCATATTTTAATAGTTTGTGTTGGGTTAGTTACTACCATTCCATCATCCGTACTCTTCCTCGGTCAATTAATGTCATGTTCATCATGCACGCAAGAAAAATATGCTTGTCCAGTTGGGAAAAGTACAAAAGTTTATGTTTTGTTAATTAGTAGATATTATAAAAACTAGGCCTAAGCTTGACTACTGAGGAAAGACTCTTGAACTCGTGCGATAAAACATTACCAAGCAAGAAACAATCGAGAAAATTAATGAGTATGAAAAATTTTGATGCTTTATGTTGGCTCCCCCAAGTCTTAATGCCTGGATCCAAGCCAACCACAGCTATATCCGTTGCAAGAAAACTATACCAGATAGGCTCTAATCAAATATATATCGATTCAACAGAAGGATAAACTCTATCTTTCCATGGCAGCAAAGGTTGGGCTAGTTCTTCAATTTGGTCCGTTGGACTGTTTGGGTGTTGTAGGACATTGGGTTCAGTAGGTTTGGGGTTTGAGCCTATTGGCTCTTGGGGCTGTGGACAGATATGATTTAGTGGGTTTTATACCCGGATAACTAGATGTTAGATTACTGGTGATATGGTGCTTGCATAATCTACAGTCATCAAGCATGCAGTCCAGGCTGCAAAATTCACCGCTTGAAGGTGATTTTGCAGAACTTTACTGAGGATCCTACAGTGTCGGTGTGCAAATCATGTCCCGCTCAGTCGGTCCCTCCGTACTCGAGGCTGAAACGGTGCCTTTCAACCGCAATTTTAATTCTTTCACCGCGTTTCAAGTGTGCTTATTGCTGTGTCAGTATAAAGGTTTAAATTGGTTGGTTTTGCTAACAGCAGATGAGCTTAGATTTTGAGCCAAAGCTTATGGCTTAGGACATCATGCTTATTCTTTTCCCAGATCATGACTGGTTTTTGGCCCCTTGGCAAGACTTGTTATGAGTTTCCTCAAATTGTGTCAAATTTGGAATTCTTCTAAAACCAGCATGAGAGAAGGAACTTTGAAGAGGAGGAACTTTGCTACTATATTGAAGAGTGATAGAATGGTTGGCCAGATTGATAGAGCTTGATGGAGTGAGATTGACTCCTGTTCTACATTCTTTATTCCTTACTATCTTCCCAGAGGAGTAAATACAAGGATTAGTAAAGACATCCTAAGGAGCAACCATAGGTGCTCGAGTTTTATTCAAAACGTACTAACTGTCATATTCGGAGAAAAATTAGAGTCTGGCGGGACATCGATCAATGTTTGACAGAAACAAGGCTTAGCGTCGCACACCAGAGAAGCTCACTTGCAATGTCCTTGATCAGACACCTCGCAAATCTATCCTCGTTGACATCGTAAAAATACCACTCCTCCACGCGGTGACGGAGGATCAGCTTGTCGTGTCCGTATGGGCCTACCACGGTGTAATAGCAGCCGCCGGCGCACGGGGGCCGGATCCTGTATTTCCTAGTCCACTCTCTTCTCGTGTAGTCCCCGAGCACCCACACGTCGTTGTGCCTCGTGTCTGGAGAATGGACAACCGCCAGCGATCCCCCCAGCTCGTGCATTTGCATCCCCTGATTGAAGTTGCCGCATTCGAAGAAAACGTCTGGGATCGGGATCAAGCTGAATTCCTCCTTGGTAAGGTCGAAAGAGAGCATCGCCCTCGCCAAGAGGCCGTCCGACAAGGAGTAGCTCGTCAGAAACCAGTTCAAAGCTCCTGAAGCAAAGACGAAGTTACGTAAAGGACCAGCGCTGTGAGGAAGTGGCGGGGCTTTGCAGGTCCTCCACGATCGCTTGTGGAAATCGTAGACTCGAGCCGCCAACGTGCAGGTGCTAGTCTTCTCATCAAAGTCGATTGCATTGATTTGTACCATCTTGTACGTGTTGGTAGAGTGATCGAACCGCAACCCATAAACAGACATGTCTGGCAAAAGATCGGGTGCTCTTAGGCAATTTCACGATTCTTTTAGTAAGGGGATTAATCAGGAGCTCAGGATACTTCTTGACATCGTTAAAGTGCGCGAAAAAAAGCAAGCCATTGCAGGCACCTCGGATCATGTAGTTTTTCAATTGGAACTCCGCCATCCGGATCATCTTCATCGGTGCTTTCTCGTGTTCCTTCAGGAGATGGATCTTCTCTTCCTTGACCTCGCGGTACAGCAACACTTGTTCTCTCGCACGGTGCACCGAGTTGTGGAAGCAGGTATCACCGACGACATCCCGCCAGCGCTTGCAGACGCGCCGGCACCGCAGCAGCGACTCGCTCGAGACTCGGGAGAGGATGTTGGAGAGGAGGGCTAGTGGAAGCTCATCCATGCTAATCAAGAATGCAGCCACGATCTGCTTGATGATGTTCAGCATCTGTGTATATACAGAGTGCAAGGAATGAGAGGGATTGCTTACCAAGAGTATCTGAATTATATATTCTGTTTCCTTGTTCTATTCCCATGAGGATTACCCTATGTAGATACACAGAGATCGATGTCGTTGGTCACCTTTCTTAAGAGAAAGCAAACAAAAAAAACAATTACTTACTAAATTTACAATGATTATGAATAAAATCGCACACAAATTTGTGTGTGGACGTAAAAGTTTCGAATTTTAAGATTAAAAAAATAAAATCAAAAAGCATGAACCGCAAGAATGGACTAAACAAATTAAAGTAAAAGGTAACAAAGATTATCGGTAAATCGATAAATAATTGGTGATTGCGAGCATTTATGAAATTTTCCCGTACCTGTTGAAGGCCAGATAGTCAACCAGATAGTCATTCTTCTTCCATGAGAAACATGAAATTACAATTAGAGGTGATCAATGGGCGGACCCGAATCAGTTGAAAGTGATCAATTACCTATATCGAGAATCATACTAAGTCAATTAGAGAATATTTCGCATGACTTTATCTTCGCCGGTTGATTTTAAGAATCCACTCGTTCTAGTAAAGTCTTAGTTAAAACTCTTCCTAGCCACCTCATGATTTTAAAAGAAAATCCGTAAAAAGCGTCCTCTTATCGTCCGTACACCTCCTCAATCAATTATTGTCATCATCTTCTCTTAAATTCTTAACTCATAATTTTAACGGAATTTATTACTTGCTTTTTCCTATTTCAATTATTGCCATAAACATATAGTTTTTTTTTTGTATTTTTGTACATTTTCACAGAAAGATATCATTTCTCTACACTAATACATTTATACATATTTTGGTTAAGCTTATGAAACAGTGCATTTTCGTTTTTCAACTTAATCACGGGAGAGGAGACGGTATTGTAAAAATACATGTTTTGGTAACTATTATCCATTATCAAAGCTAGACCAAAGTTTGATTACTAAGGAAGACTCTTGGACTTGCGCGATAAAGCATTACCAACGTCACGGGAAAACTATATCGAATAGATTCTAACCAGATACATATTGACTCGATAGAAATAGAAAGTGGTCCGCTTCGTGTCCGTGAATCCAATGCAATCAAAATCGTTGGTCACGTGATGTCCACATGATCAAAGTCTAAGCATGACTCGAGTCCACATTGATCGCGTTTTAGGCAAGAATATATCCGAAAAGAGAGTGAATATATTTAGATGGAAATGTAAATTTAGATGTGCTTGGGAAATTGCTTCAGTCTATAACCTCGTTATTTTCTAATGTAGAGATATACGGATGGAATACCATAATATGTACAGCTTGACTACACAAAACTGTTCCAAGTATGCGGTTTTCTCTAAAGATATCCTTGAAAAGATAAGGAAGGAGCAAGGTGCTACGTATGGCGTCATATTTGGAGAACAATTAGAGTCTGGCGGCGTCACCAAGTCGCTCGAGAGGAACAAGGCTTAGGGGCTCACATCTGAAATGCGCATAACAACCACGTGCGCCGGTCCAACACTTCGTGAATCTATCCTCGTTCACATCGTACAAGTACATGTCTCCGTCGCAGCGGAGGATCAGCTCGTCGCGTTTGTACGCGCCTACCACGGTGAAATAGTTGCCCTTGACCGCCCACGGGAGCCCCATGCTGTATTTCCTGGTCCACTCTCTTCTCGTGGAGTCCTGGAGCACCCACAGGTCGATGTCCCTGTTCCCAAGACGATGGACAAGCGCCAGCGATCCCCCCAGCTCGTGCATTCGCGTCCCCAGATTGAAGTCGCCGCATTCGAAGAAAACATCCGGGATCGGGATCAAGCTGAATTCCTCCTTGATAAGGTCGAAAGAGAGCATCGCCCTCGCCAAGGGGCCGTCCGACAACGAGTAGCTCTTCAGAAACCAGTTCAAAGCTCCCGAAGCAAAGACGAAGTTACGTGAAGGACCAGCGCTGTGAGGAAGCGGCGGGGCTTTGCAGGTCCTCCACGATCGCTTGTGGAAATCGTAGACTCGAGCCCCCAACGTGCAGGTGCGAGTCCTGTAATCAAAGCCGTTTGCATTGATCTGTACCATCTTGTACATGTTGGTAGAGCGATCGAACCCCAACCCATAAACAGACACGTCTGGCGGAAGATCGGGTGCTCTTGGCAATCTCAGGAAATCTTTTGTAATGGGATTAATCAGGAGCTCGCCATTGTTCTTGACATCGGTCCTGTGCCTGAAAAAGAGCAAGCCATTGCAGGAGCCTTGGATTGCATAGCCTCTCGGTACCGGGAATTTACCTATCTTGATCATCTGCGCCGCCGCTTCCCCGTGTATCTTCAGGAGATGGATCTCCTCTTCATCATACTCATGGAATAGAACCGCTCGTTCTTTCGAGCAGTGGATAGGGTTGCTGAAGTAGGAATCATCAATGGCTTCTCGCCAGTGCTTGCAGACGCACCGGTATGGCAGCAGCGACTCGCCCGAGACTCGGGAGAGGATGTCGGAGAGGATGGCTGTCGGAAGTTCATCAATGCTCGTCAAGAGTGGAGCCATCGTCTGCTGAGGCTGTTCAGCGCCGTATGTCCATTACAAGGAACGAGAAGGGTTATTTATTGAGAGTTTATGAGGTTTCCTAGTTCTATTCGGATTAGGATTGCTCTTTGGAGATATGTATAGATCGATATCTTTCATCACCTTCCCAAATATGCGTTAAGATCAGCATCACTATCTTTCCAAATTTGGGTTGGATTCTGCTACTTCATGATTGGTTGTTCATAAATAGAGACTTGGCCACGTTTCTTCTCTTTTTCTTTCTTAAGAAAAAGCAAACGCGTGCAGATAAGTTAAGTTTACAATAATGATGAAAACAATCGAATGCAACAGATTGACAAGATTTTGTGGACTTTAGCTTCCACCGTTTGTGGTAGGCAGGAATAGGGATGAGCGGTTTCAGGTTCCATATAGAATTCCGTACAGATTTCACCTGGAATCCACCCATGAGAACAGGTTCCTCATATTTTTGGAACTTGGAACCTACCCTACATACTTTGGAACCCAAAACCTACCCTATCACAGGTTTCAGGATCTACCCAGATTCCATCTATATTATTAGTTGAACAATTGCAATGAATTATCACTTTTATTGATCATTACTTGCTGCTATGATCCACTGACCATAAATTATATTTATACACATGAAAAATAGGAAAAATTAACAAGTCATAAAATGAAAGCTCAGACTAGTGGTTCAAGATTATACACTCATCATCTAACGCCATGAAACACCGCGGAATCACGCGAAGACATAGATCAAGAAAAGATACAAAAAACTTGTTTGAGGTTTCAGGTTCCAGTTCCAGTTCCAGGTTCCACCTACCTAGAATGTGGAACCTACCCGTCGAAATAGATTCCCCAATTTTTGAAATCTGAAACCTACACTATATATCTTGAAACTTAAAACATACAGGTTCCACTGGTCAGGTTTTTAAGTGCCAGGTGGAACCATGCTCACCCCTAGGGAGGAGTTTACTAGAGTTTTCTTGGTTTTTTGGTTATTCAACCGTTCCGTCGTCCGTGTACACTTACCCAATCAAATCAATGTCATCCTCGTCGTGCGTGCATGCATGCATGCAATTCCAACGTAACAGGTGCACGCAGAGGGTCCCAGAAAACATTATTGTAAAAGTTCAAAGTTTTGCTTCTTATTATCTATTATCGAAGCTAGACCTAAGTTTGATTAGTAAGGAAGACCCTTGAACTTAGAGCGATGAAACTTTACCAAGCAAGAAACAATCGAGAAATTTAGTTAAGCTCCCACAAGACTCAACGTCTGGACCGGCCTAGATCACGGTTGTAATCCTCATGTATATGTGTTATCGCAATTAACTCCTTCGTTTAATTATTACTTCTGCGATCATTCCAAACTAAGTGTAGCCTCTCGAGCCAATCTGATTTATAAGCGCACTCGCTTGGTTAATCATGTCGCATTTTTGCGTCGACGATAAAGCCCATCTTAATAGATGCGAGAGACGAGTAAGACGTGATCTGGCCCGGCTTGGATACCAGCTCAAATCGAAACCCGAGAATACAATTTTTTAAGAAAAACAAAACCAAATGAGATTGAACTATAACTTGGAGCCAACTCAAGCCAAATTGATTTTTTCTTTTTGGGATCGATTCACACTATAGTAATGACTTTCATGTAGTGCGTCTATCTTTGCAGTTTGAATCGTGTAACCCCAAATATAGATTCCTCGTTGCTATCACAAGTTCAGGCAGATAGCTTTCCGTGTTTATGTATATAAAAGAAATGGGAAAAATTCATTATTTCACAAATGGAATAACCTACTTGTGAGTTTGTTAGAATAGACAACAAATTCAGTTTTTCTGTGTACACTTGCAAGTCTAATTCTGTTAGTCAGTTTTCTTACAAAAAGTTTCACAATTTCAAGAGTGTTCTCACGATTATTACAGCAAGTTTAGAGAGTTCTTGCATAAGTTCACATTTCAAGAGACATAATTATAAACCAGTCTCTCTCCAAAACCCTATACCCAATACCCATTCATCTCTTTTTTTTTTGATGGCTTTAGAGGAACTCTTTCAGTCACTATAATCCACACGTCTCTCTCCTCCTTTTGTAGAGAAAAAAAAAAGGATATGGGTCTCTCTTACGAATGGGCTGTCAATTGCATTAACATCATCATGCAATTCAATGTTTTCACTGGCGGAATGTGGAAAAAATTTTGGGATCGAATGCACGAACAAAATCCGGACATGCCCGCCACCGTCGAGGATACACACTTTGAGGTTGGTGTCCTCGAAACTATTTATCTGTTGTCTCTGTCCATCATTATGAGAAGTGGAGGTTATTCAATTTTCAATGCAATCAGCGGTCGATTTAAAAATCTCGTATTTAGAACAAAAGGATTAGTTGATAAACGATCTACTGCTATAAGATAGCAAAAGCGTGAAGGAAAAATCTTGGTTCCCACATTTGAAACAATGTGTTTGGTTTGGGTAGTTTCTTTTGGTCATTAGGTTTATGTCAGTTTTGGTCTTTTTCTAAGACCAGCATGGGAGCACTCAACCTTTTTATTTTTTTTCGAAACTGATTTTTCCTTCGGCAGGCCTTAAAGGAGGCACTTAGTTGCCGTCAATGCCATTCTTCCCTACTACTTCCATTTGGATCGAGGATCTTGCTAGTGAATGGCAACTCTTTGAATGAGGACAATGAGATCATGAGAGTGAACCCAAATACCCATATTCTTCTTTTTCTCCGTGGAAAACATTTTATGGGATATTCTTTCGAAATGGGCCTTTTTTTGAATTGTGATCTCAATCATTTCTATGGGTTTAGATGAACTCTTTTTGTGTCTATAATTCCCAAGTCTCTCCTCCTTTTAATTCGTAAGGAAGAAAAATGGTTATGGGTTGCTTTGATAAATGGTTGCTCGATGCATTAACATTATCCTGCAGGTCGAGATTTTCTCTGTTGGATGTGAAAGAATTTTTGAGAACGCTTAAGATCACGACTGTGCACTTCTTGAACTCATTTGCCTCTTGTTGTGCATAGAAAATGCTTATGATAGTATACACTATTATTTCTAATTGTATTATGCGATAATATTGGGGAAGGGACCTCAATATATACTCGAACTTCTCTAATTACAACCGTAGATCTCCTCTTCATCTTACGGTGAAAATCCAATCTCTCCATCTACGACTTACATGTGTTAACCACAATAACTCTCTAGAATCCAAGCATACATTTCCAATACTATCCCTATGATTATTCTAGAATACTATACTAAAATTATAACTCAATACAAATCAAAATAAAAAAAAAATCAAACAAAAATGAAACTGCTATAGAGAAGTAGAAATAAGATTATGAAGAGCTCAAATAAGATTACGTACTTGACAAAAAAAAAGATTACGTACTTAACTTATAGAGCAAATCTTAAAGTCTAATAAAGCTTAATCACATTGAAATTAGAAATGATAACATAAACTTGAAATTGATAATTGAAAATTTTCAAACAACTCACTTCAATTAGATAATGTAGATTCAAATGGAGCGCTCATTGCTAATAAAGTATTTTGTGGTTAATGTAATTGCCTTTTCTTTTTTTTGGTCAGGATCATGCAAATTGTCTTTAGTAACTTGGTTGAAGGTAGTAACTTGAAGAAAATGACACAAGCAGTCCCTAAACTTTGACTCAATATGCAATGTGGCCTTTGAACTTTTAATATGTTCAATATAGTCCCTGAACTGTAGCAACCATTTAACATGTACCAATAGTCTAAGGACTATATTGAACAAATTAAAAATTGAGGGACTACATTGCACATTGGACCAAAATTCAAGTATTGTTTGTGTCATGATCTCTTTTCTTGGTGAGGAAATTGAAGCGCCCAACATATGATTAGATAAAAACTATTGCAATATTCCACATCGATAAATTTGGAATAAATAAGTAAGTTAAAATTACTTATTGTTGTGAATTGCCAACATGTTGATAAATAATAAGTTAAATATATTCTATTCATTTATGTGCATAAGATTTCAATTCTTATAAAAGTAATAGGAAAGTCGTATTTTGCATAGGACATAAGTTCAAAAGCTTATGACGATATATTATATATATAATGTAGAGTTGGAAAGAAAAAAGAGATTGGAATAAGAGGTTTGGTTGGAATCTACCGTATTATTCTCGAAAATGATGTTAGGTTTACTAAAATCGATTTACAAAAATGATTTATTGGGTGATATGGTAGGCTTTTATTAAATATTGAATATGACCCATCTATTTATATGTTTGACACATCATTTAGCAAATCAATAATGTAAATCAATATTAGCATACTTAACAATATATTTTATTGTTATCCAATGGACGTATATGCCTAATGCTTTTTAATTCAATAAGTTTCACGGCAAATCAAGATCAACCCAATTTTAGGTTATATTTTATTAAAAGACTAAAATTTTTTTTGGAGTGATATTTATATTTGATCTCATATTTATCAGAATAAGAACTTTCGCCGACTCATGGACTAGTTGTGCCACTAATTTAAAAACAAGTACCGCTTGATAGATGTTTATTTTCCTCTCCATTTACAAAAAGCTCATGTAGTGACTCGGTTCTCTCTGTCCATCGCTTAACCGAAAGCGTTCCTGTCTCCTTGCCGAAAAAGAAAAAGAAAAGAAAATTTCCCTGTCCTCCTATAAAAGTGATGAGATTGTTTTCATATTCTAGTATTTTCACTACAAAATTACTAAATTTTCTTTTTGAGAAATATTTACGTATGATCTCATATTTATCAAAATAGAAACTTTTCGCTGTTCATGGACAAGTTGTGCCGCTAATTAAAAAAAAAAGCACCCTTTGTTAGATGTTTATATTTCTCTCCTTTTACAAAAGGCTTGTGTAATGACTCGGTTCTCTGTGTCCATCGCTTAAGCCGAAGCATTCCCCATCTCCTTGCCGAAAAAGAAAAAGAAAAGAAAAGGAAATTTCGCTTTCCCCCTATAACAGTGATGAGATTGTTT